AGACTCATAACTGTCCAAGGTAATGGCATATACAGTAGGACCTATCTCTGTGCAGTGAAACCAAAAAGATTTTTAACATGAAAACAGAACATTTAAGTTGAAAGTAGAACTAAAACAGAAACAAAGACAGGACCTGTCTATAAGGAAAAAACAAGACACAGGTGTGTTGTGAACTGACAATGGCAAGAAGGAAATTCAGTGCATAGACCTAATTTTTAGCCTGGAGCTTAAATCACAAAGTACTAAGGAACACTGTACATGGGTGGAAAGGGTTAGAAAGCATGCCCTGTGTGAAGACTAACAACATGACCCCAAAACTGTGACCCAGGTGCCTCTATAGCGGCTGCTTCCAAAACTAAGTATTTAAAACAGGACCTTCTCACCTTGACATTTAAGTCTTTGTTCTAAAAGATGATATTCAATTATCTAATAGTTATTGTCAGTCTTACACCAACAGTACATTAAGAGTGAATAAGTTATCACATGCAAAATGCTGTTAGGCTGACTGGCAGTCTCCGTATTAATATAATGGAGGAAAAGTTTGGAGTAATCTGAGCTCAAGACCCAGCACCACTCAAAACAAAACAACAAAAATCATATCATACCAACAAATCTAGAGAAAATTCCCTAAGAAAATTTTTTGTAAAATAGGCAATAAAATGGACTTTTAAACTAGTGCTGTTACCTCTAGTGAGTAAGAGAAAACTTGCTCAGGCTGAGTGGTGAATGTGCCATAGCCCTTTCCAGACTGTATCTAGGTCTGCCCTGTCTGCTTCCAAGTCAGTATGGCAATGAGAAGAATCTTTTTTTTAGTTTAGTATGTACCTGCCAATCCTCCAATACAAGTTCAATGTATCCTTGAAATTTACAAAGCAAAAAATATAAAAATGCAAACATTTTCTTCTTTACAATACTCACTTTCACAAGTACCAATAAACTCTCAACTCAAATATTATATAACAATTTCAAGCTGAAATGTTCCATCCTGAAGGAAGCTCCTTAATCCAAAGGCAAACAACTCAAAATAGCTTCAGGAAGTTTCTGAAACTGACATGATTCAGTTTCTGCCAAAATAAACACTACACTGAAAGTCCCCATCACAAGGAGCTGAGCTGCAAGGTAGACTCAGAGGAGAAAAGCTGCAAAAATACCCAAAACCAAACAAACAAAAGACTCTGAGCCCAGAGTTAGCTGCCAGGAAGAAGCAGAAAGCAGCAGGGCTGCCTGAAGAGGGTTAGACTCACTGAGGCATCTGGAAAGGACACTCTACAATTTGTTGAGCTGGCTGCAGGCTGTACAGTATTTTCCAGGTTCCCAGATGCTTGTGAGCTGTCACCCATGATAGGGTGACCTGTGGTCATGTAGCTATCTTTCATTTGTGCTCTTGTAAGTAACCCCTCACCCACATTCTATAAGAAACTCCAATAAACTCACTGGTTCACCCAAGTTGGATCCATGCCTTGGTCTGTTGTATATTATATATAAACTTAATGTATATAGTTTTTCTTATATAGTCATAACATTCTTTTAAATTTTTAGACAAAAAAGGGGGTTATGTGGTGATATCTCCCTTGTACAAATAAAAGCATGTCTGAAGGTGAATGGAACTTGCCACTAGCTAACCAAAGAGGTCTGGGTCTGTACAGACAGACAGGAAGTGAGGTAGCTGGGTGGAAACAGGAAATAAGCAAGGAGAAACAGGAACTCACTCTCTTATCTGCTTAGACTTGAAGTGGCTTGCTCCTTCTCTCTGATGTTCAGACAGGCTTTATTTGTACAAACAAGATTCTACAGTTGTGGAATTCCTATTTGGGGTGAGTAGATGTGTGTATTATATCTCCCCAGGAAACATCTTGTCGCACAACTTCTAATAACAGGAGAACCAGCTCTGCACTGTTGTGTGTAGCATTGCCCTGAACAATATCTATCATCAAGGCAATGAGAATGCATATGTAAAGGAGCTACACTTAGGAAATGTAAGACAAACTTTACTTTGTTCAACTTCCAATTCTATTTAAACTAGTACAAAGGCTTGTAAATGCAAATTTAATTTTATGTACCAAAGAAATACAATGAATCCACTACATCTAGAAAAATCTGAAGTTGGGTTTCTTAACTAAATACTTTATTATTTCTGTGTATAGACTTTGTGTGAATGTGTGGGTGTGACTTGATGCTAAAGATCGAACTGAGAACTCTGAATATGCTTGTCAAGCATTCCACCACTGAGGTATCTATCATCTCCAGTCCCTGCCTTTTTGTTCCTTTTCTTCCTTAGACAAGGTCTCAGGATCTTCTTGCCTCAACCTCCCAAGTGCTAGGATTATAGTCATGTGCCACTATGTAGGAATTATGGTTCATTTTAGAAAGCAAGAGTCTGTGTAATAAATAGTTGTCTCTCAATTGTTGAGAAGGGCTGAGATAGGGTCTGCAGTGTATATGGACAGCAGAAATAAATGGTCAAAGGCTTCATTAGGCCACAATATTGTTTTTACTGTCTTTTATCAATTTACTCAGATATTAAGTAAAGATCCAACCTGGGCTTCATTTAATTCTGCTTGGGCTATGAAAAAGTTGTGAACCACCATAAAACAGATCTTTGTTAAACATTTATAGTATCAAGTTTATATTCATGGCAATCATGCTTAAAACAGTAGTAGAAAAAAGGCCTTTTGCAGTGGTTGTTTTAAAGTCTCAGCTTAAATAAATGTCAGAATACAGCCTTGAGTTTATTTCCCTTCCAAATATATTCTGAAGAAAAAAAAAACAAAAACAAAAACAAAAATAACATAACATCTCTATTGTACTTGAAAACACAAGACACACACTGTTTTTTCTGAAAGAATAAAATGTAGATGAAGCCCTGCATATTTTCAATTAGCTCCCCATGACTTAGCTTTTTTATCTAGAAGCTAGGACGTGACACATAAAGCAGACATTATCAGACAATGGTCAACAAAGACCTACAGGGTTTATTCAATTATACACACTTCCCAGCACAGGAGGCCACCTGGATACAGAACATAGTTTTGTGCCCTGAAAGTGCTTCTCCAATTCTCCAATGGAAGGTTCAAGAACACTAATGCCATCTTCATAGTCTTTATAATAAATTTATAAATAAATTTGGTGGAAAAATAGCTCAGTGGTAATTAAGAGCACTGACTGTTCTTCCAGAGGACCTGGATTCAATTCCCATCACCCAAATGGCAGCTCACAACTGTCAGTACCTCCAAGCTCCAACACCCCCCATAGACATACATACAGGCAAAACACCAATAAAAAATGAAAATAAATTTTAAAAGTGAATGGTTAATATAAGAGAGGATAGATAGATAGACAGACTGGGAGAAGGGTTAAATGAGAATTGACCTCATAAGCTCATGTATTTGAGTGCTTAGTCATCAGTGAGTAGAACTGTTTGAAAAGGATTAAGAGGTAAAGCTTTGTTGGCGGAAGTGTGTATTTTGGGATGGGCTTTTGGCCAGGCCAAGTCTCTGCTTCTGTGTCTGTCTCTCCTCTCTGTCTCTGTCTCTCTCATACACACACACACACAGGATGTAAAGCTCTCAGCTACTGCTCCAGCACCATGACTGTCTGCTTCCCACGATGATAATCAGGAATAAACCCTCTAAAACTGTAGGCAAGCCCCCAGTTAAATGCTTTCTTTTGTAAGTGTTTTCTTGGTCATGATGTCTCTTTACAGCAATAGAACAGTACTAAGGTAGAGAGTAAAGACACTGTTTACAATCTGAGTTCCATCCCTGGAACCCACAGTGCTAAGCTGTCATTTCCTCTAGCCTTAAAACACCAAGAGGGTTTTTCCCCTTCTAATATCAGAAAAATTCTGTTTGTACAACTGAAAAGCAAAAGTTAAGTGAAAATTGCAAATTACCAAATTTCATATTGGCAAGCACTTTGTTTCACAACATTTGTTTACACAAATTTCTGAAAACTAGAATTGCTTTTTTACATCAAATTCTAGCACCATGACAAAACCAATAGCAAATTTCACACAGGCCTGAGGAAAGGTAAGCAGAACTTCAAGGAGACAAGTGCTTCCTCCGAAGTACATGGAATGACAGACACCACAGCAGCCTGGAGGACGCAGCCATTTACAGATATGTTCTGACTAGGGATTGGTATCCAAAACAACTAATTAAAAACTAAATCCACAGAACTTGTAACAGCAATCTAAGGAAAAAAATCTTAGCTAAATATGAGACAAGGCCACAAAGAAACAGCTTCAGATGGTACCACAAATAATAGCTACAAAGCAAGAGTGTCTAAAAATTACTCTAAATCCTGAGCTTTTACTCTAAACATTGGGCTTTTCAGTGGACCTGGTTAGTAGGCAGGCTCTCCATCTATCTAACCTGTATGGGGCTTCTACAGACATCCATTTACTATTCATCATCAATAGGCCACACACACATACTCGCTTTCCTTTATCCATCCAAATGACACTAGCATTTCAATGCCTAGACTAATTTCCCATGATTCTTATTCAGGGCTTTAATAAAGAATTCAAAGAAAGTAAAATGCATATATTTAAGCAAATACTGAACTTTTTTCTTCTAGTTAACAGATAAATGACAAGAAGCACATGAGTGTATACTTTGTTTCAGATCTAAATTTTTCATTTAAGAACAAGAAACCTGTCACTCAGGACTCTTCACAGCTCTTTAATAACCAAGCTCTTCATTCTTGTTTCCTGGAATTTGACGCACAGACTCACAGATGTCACATGCATATAAGATGTGTCCTCAACACAACCATGACAAAAATCAGAATTCATATCCATATTCATATGAAAGAAATTCTATTGATAGTCTTGATTCAGCAATTTTATAATTAAAATTCATTTTTTTACCCAATTTCTACTGCAGAGACTGCAGTCAATATTTACCAATGCCCACACTGATTCTGTCAGGGCAAGTTCAGTACCAGTTATCTCTCCATCAGCATGTGCTCCCCTGCCAGAAAGAACAGCTGCTACTCACTGGGAATCTTTGGGGTCCTACGGCAGGCCTCGGCTGGCTTGGAACTGGCAGCAAGGGCACTGTAAGGAAACAACTTGCATTACAATCACTTGGCATCAGACCAGCTAGGAGGAATACAACACAGGAGATCTCACACAAGGCATACAATGCATACACTGGGCACTCAGTAACATTAAGTTTAGATTTTACCTATATAAATAATATCATAAAAGAAGAAGGGAGGGTATTTTTGGCCCCAGAATAAAAGTCTGATATAAAGCTTAAGTTGTAACAGAGAACTACTGTTTAGATTTAAAATATTTTTACAACAAAAGGAAATCATTTTCTTTTGACATAAAAAGACCTAGTTTCAGTAGATGTGACATGGAAGGGTACACTTGTAGCCCCATCAATCTGGAAGTTTGAAGAAGGAGAACTATTTCAAGTTTGAGGCTAGTCTGAACTACACAATGAGCTTAAAACCAGCCTGGGTTACAGTGAGGCCCTGCCCAGTCATACACAAATGCGAATCCTAGAGAATCACAAAAGAGGAGAGAGAGAGAGAGGAAGAAAAAGAGGCAGGAAGAGGAAAGGTGGGATGATGTTTATGTGCCCTTACAGAGAAGGACAAGGAAGCAAACTACTGTGCTAACACTTGCAGGTTGGTTTTGTTTACAAAGGTCAAATTCTCACCAGTCTACTAGACCAAGAAGTCCATTTGTCTTAAGAGGATATCTCATTGTAGCAAAGAAGTGAGGGCTAAGCCATATAGGGCTAGAGCATGTAATGATGCCCTCTTTGGAATGTACCACACATTATACTGATCTCACTGACCTGAATTTGGAAAAACTCATCACTGTTGAGGTATGGGAGCTTGCAGTCAAACACGGTGCTAGATGCACCCAGGAAAACTCCCATTATGAGCCCCTTAAACATGATGCTATTGGAGAGGTCTTTAAAGAGGTCCGAATGGTGAGCACTAACTAATCCAACCTAACCACACCCTGGAGAAAGGAAGAAATGCAAACACATGCTCACAGAGACACCATATGAGAACATGAAGAAGCCATCTGCAATCCAAGAATTGAGCACAGGAGAATCAATCATCCTACCCATGCCTACATCTCTTGGTAGTGCTTGTTACAGGAGCCTCAGCAAACTAATAATTAGTTTTAATACAACACAACATTAAGGGGACTCTACGAAACGAGAACTACAGACACAAAAATTCACCTGAAGAAATCAATCGAATCACTTTAAAATAATGACACACCAAACCTTTATTCTTTACTGTTACAAAATGAATCCCATACCTTAAACTATATCATTAACATCACACTTTACAGGCTCAATGTTAACTGATGGTGTGGGACATCTCCTATTTGATCAAAAGCAAATATAACCGAAACTTCCTTTTACAGAATGTCAAACTAGCAAAAGTCCAAGCCTCTGAGAGTCTATTCCACTATTCCAACATAAGACTTCCTGTAAGAAGACAGACACACAGCAACCAGGCATCTAAGGGGAAAGAAAAAGCTATATTCAGGAAAAAAAAAAAAAAAAAAAAAAAAAAAAAGAGGGAATATTCTCATCTCAGAAGATTATAGTGAAGGTGAAGAAAAGAATGGCACAATTAACAACAGATGAAAAATATTTTTAAATCCAGTACCAAATATGAAACACCTAGCCCCTCTACCAAACCTATCATTTACAGGAAATAACAATTCCAACAAAGGGGTCTGGACCCACAGGTTGAGAACCATTGTTCTAGACTCTCTATACACCAGCAATGCCCAAATTGAACTGTTAGCTCAGATCATTTAAACTTAATCAATTGCTGACTAGTCACCTCCATCCTCCCAGATACTCAGTCTCTCTTCCCTACTCATCTAATTCACCTGCATTACATGCAACCTCTCACTGCCTTGGCTGCACTCTCCTCTGACCCTGGCTCCTGCAGCCAGCAGCGAGCTGGAAACACACTTCTCTCCAGATGTCCCACAGCCATCCCCCAAATACTGCAGCAAGATGATACTTGATCATATTAGTGCAAAAAGCCCCACTGATCCTGACCATGAATTTTAAGTCATCATAAATAGGCTCACAACACTCTTATTAATCAAAATAGGGATTATCATTATCAACAAATTTTTGCAATAAGAAGTATGTATATTCCTATATAGCATGTCTCTATTATGTTTCAGTATTCAAAAACTTTCAGAAACACTTTCTGCATCTTGCAGATTATAGAAAAAAAATTTCCCTGCAATATGTCATTGAGATGCTTGAAGAGTTATCAGTCAGTTGGGGTGGATTCAGGAGAACATGGCTAATGACACAAAACTTCATAGGTTAATTTATTCAACTACAGAACCACTGTTGAGTAGTCACAATGAGCTCTACGAGTACCTTCTTCAACGACTGCTCTGTCATCACTGTAAATTCTGATGTCTGATGCCTCTTGCTCTTTCTTGATCCACCAATATACTGTGAAGTCACTAGTGGCTTCTGGGCCAAATGTGTTGTTGATGTTTTCAACTGCCTCCACAGTGGCCCGTTTTTAACTCAGGCAAGAAAATCACTACAAGTTTTTTGATCTAACATCATTTCCATAGTATAAGGATCAAATAAGTAGTAAGAAGCCAAAAAAAGTGCATTAAAATTATGCATAAACAGAAGCACATAAAAATACATTCTATTATCAAATGGCCAGTTTCACCTATATGAGAAACCCAATTGCTTTTTGCTCCATCTTAATATACTATAAACCCAGGCACTCCCCCCAGTAAAAAATAAGTCCTTAGAGTGCCTAGACAAGTGGGATCCTGCATCACTTCCCTCCTTTTGTCATTCCATAAAGCACTGGTCATCTCTCTTTGTGCTCACTATCAACCTCCCTTGGTAGTTATATAGCTCTCCAAGACTTCAGACCATCTTCCCTGATGGGTCATTCCTTATCCTTCTGAACATCTTTAGAACTAACCTGCTCAATGAACCCCCAGATAACTGTATCCACTGCCTCCCTAAACTCTGCTTTATTCTTCCTCTGCATCTGCACCTAGCATGCCACACATGCCCTACTTACCAACCTTGGATCCTGATGAACTGCCTCTGCTCATGAAAGAACAAGAGCATAAAGAGAACTCTTGTCTGCTTTGCTCTCTAACAAAGTCAAGGTGCCTGGGGCAGTGCCTGTGAATCTAGCTGCTACTATGGTGGCTCTGTAATCTGCCACTAGAGTACTTCAACACATACCAGGAAAGAACACGCACCTTGAACAGGGGTCACCACCGTCCCCTTAAAGTGTGGATTGATGTGGATGTTCTTGGGCTGCTGAGGAGTCACTGGGGGAGGGGTCAGCATCATCCTTGGAGTCTCGATCTGGGGGGGCATGTGCACTCCCTGAGGTGGGGAGGGATGGTGGGGGTGCTGTAAGGGGAGTAGAGGCTGTAGCTGCTGCTGTTGGAAAAGACTTCTGATTGGCTGCTGCTGAGGTGGTGGTGGTGGAGGAGGAGGCTGTGGCTGTGGAGGAGGGATTAATCTTGGAGAGTGAGCCTGAAAATCACCAAAAGAGAAAAATTAACAAATCAGAATTTAGAAGAAAACTAAAGTAATGCTGATGTGCTATCAAGCTTCTACCATTTAATTTCTCAGAAATAAACTTACAGTAACAACTTGTACATAAATTGTATACACAGGATAAATAAGCTGCGCCACAGACTCACAAGATAGCACACAGTCCAACCAATCCATGACAAGGAGAGAAGAAAATTAAATTCACCCCAGGAAACGAAACTATCCATAACAATCAAAGCTACCCATAGCATCTAAGCACAGCCTCTCCTTGAGGAGCCAGACAGGAGAGAGCACTAGAAGCCTGACACTGAGAAAGGGTCAGTGCTACAGAAAGCTATTCTAAGAAATTGCTCTGAGAAAGTGGTATCTGGGCCAAGGCTCCACTGCAGAAAAGGGATGCATTCTCGCTCAGAGAGAATTAACAGACCATGAATGGAGAAAACCAGGAGAAAGGACTTCCTGTACATTCAAGAAGGAGGAGAGATGGATACAGTATATTAAAAGAAGTGGCCCTGCAACCTGTTGCAGTCCCTTATCTCAAGTCCCCAGTGGGAGGTTGTACAGGAAGCAGCAAGCCTATTCCTAACAATGCCAGAAAGTGAGTTGGATTCAGATAATCTGATTCCATGAGTTTTGCTTTTATCCACAAATCAAATCAGCTACAGTGCCAATTAGTAGTGCCACTTATAATTCCACTATCTAATTAGTTGTTTTCACTAGGATGATGCCCCATTATAGTCTCTGAATTCCAATGAAAAATACAACACATATGGCAAGGAACTCCCAATGATGCCTTCTCTACAAAAGTGACTGCTCATCATGTGACAGGTATGGCAAATTGAAGAAGAGCCAGTCTGATGAAGGACAAGGAGAGGCGCCAGAGAACAAGAAGATTATAAAGTTAAATTGTATATGGCACTGACTGACTGTCTTCCTCAAAAAGATGTCCCCAAAGACTCTGGAACCAATAAACCTGAACTTTTTCCTCTTTCGAGAATCCAGGGCTCGTTGCCTTTATGCACCCAAGTGTGTAATATATGAAATTGGGAAACTGCCATGTGTGTGTTGTATGAGCTCACTGAAAGAGGCTGGCACTGAAATGGAGGGTTGTCCCCTCCCCATTTCAGACCCTAGCACATTTGACTGGGGATGGAGTGCCCCTAACTTTCTGACAAGGAGGGAAAAGAAGAGCAACTGCCTAAAAGTAAAAATATAATGTCACTGAGAATAGCTAACAGGCTAACTATTGTTATCCCATGACATAAAAATGTGTGAAACAGAAACAGGAATTTTAGCCATGGTAAGCTCAACAATGAAGAAAAAGCTAAATTGGAAATACCAGGTGACTGCCTCAAATTCCTTGGTTGGTTTCTGTTGGATGCTGTTAAGCCTGATTTAAATGCATGGCTGCTGGTCAGACTCAGTCTACCAGCTGTTTGATGGCAATGCAACCCATCAGGTGGTCAGTAACCAGGAGCCAAAGGCACAGCTACTCTGTCAGGATACCAGTTACCTTTGCTGTTTGACTGGGTGTTAATAGTATTTCCAGTCCTCTACCCATTAACCTCCCTCACTTGTAAAAAATAAATATTCGTGTGTGTGTGTGTGTGTGTGTGTGTGTGTGTGTGTGTGTGTGTGTGTATGAGTTCCGTGGCACTCATGATGACGCAAAACCAAGCTGGGGCATAACTGTTTAATTGAGAACCAACCAAACTGTTTGCAACAGAGCTATGTATTGATGTCAACAAACTTTCAAATGCTATCATTTTCTTCTTCCTCTGGGATACATTAAAACTAGATTCATAAAAAAACCAACAGTCACCCTTTCGACTTCATCATCTCAACAATGGATAGTACCTGAAATACTGTTACAAAGGTCAAGTGCATACTACAAGCCTTAGAGGGGTTTATGATATACACTAGGGATACATCTTGCATTATGTTTCTTCCTAATACTGACTTCCAAAGGAGAAAGCCAAGAAGTTTATTTCTAGCTGAACAAAAGGAAAATCAATAAACACCATAACTCCTTTCTTTGTTCTGAGATACTCTGAAGAAATTTACCCAAGTTTAACTACATAATTCAGTCTCAAGTCATGAATAGTTTCATAAGATACAATTAAGAAAAACTGATAGTAAAGGGAAAACCTATAGAAAAATACTCTATCTAGGTGATGGTGGTGCACGCCTTTAATCCCAGCACTAGGAGGCAAAGGCCAGCCTGGTCTACAAAGTGAGTTCTAGAACAGCCAGTATTACACAGAGAAGCCATCTCGAAACCCCCTCTACACACACACACACACACACACACACAAAAGAAAAACACTCTATAAAATAATCAACTATAGCCTAAATTCTATCTGTATTAACATCACCATATCAAAAATAGTGTGCTTGAGAGGGCTTCATTCTAGTAGGGGAGAAAAGCAGGGCTCACTTGGACACACAAGCCACCAGCTGCTCAATGGAAGTGCTGAGGTGGATTTTTTTTAACTACCCATTAATGGAAAGACCCAATCCTCAGACTACAAATGAAATTGTACCACAGACCAAAACTCAGAAACTTCAACCATTGCTTCTACTTCTTCGGTATGAATCATGTCTCACAATAACATACTTTCATTGCTCCAGAACTGTTAGACACGGCAATAAAACCCCATACTTACCACGACAGGAGGCTGCGTAGGAAGCAGGGCGGGCCTGTGCTCTTTCACCCTTCCTCTCTCGCTGTTCTCTCGTCTCTGGTCTCCCATTCCACGGCACATCAGAGAGCCTCCTCGCCTTCCTCCCCGCCTGGAACCATAGCGTCCCTGCTTATGCTGTCGCTCTCTTTCTTCAAATTCAAGCAAAGCAGCTTTGGCTTCTGCTGAAAGCTCTATGGAAAAAGATGTACAAGTGTTAAAATACAGTCCCTAAGGGGAAAAAAGCCCTGTCATTCAAATAGGATCCCTTTAAAGTAGTGTCTAAATGTGGTAATATATCTTTAATTAGTAAACGTGTATTTTGTGAAAACATCACTAAACACTACTGGTTTTTAAGTATCACCAGAGTCTACTTTGCAACCTCAGACTAATAATCTGTAAGCTATAATTCATTTTCTTAAAAATGTTGATATGGTATTCCCTCTCCTCCAAATGAATATGGATCTATCGGAAAGAAAACATAATAATCTCCTTTTAACCAGCACAGATTTTTTTTATTTTAATCTTGACTACATGATTACTTCACACACACATTTTATGCAGTGAATCAGCAATTATTTTTCTAGTGGTTCTGAATGTCAAGATTAATTTTACTATTCTCAGTAATAAAATGGTTTCAAATGACATCTTTAATCAGCAAGAAAAAATGCTCTCCTCCAATTGAGACAAGCTGTCACAAAAGGTCACCAAAATATGACAGAATAGAAATTACATTTGTAACTTCAACTGAAATGTTAATCTCCCCATAAGTATTTCCTGAACTATGTACAGATCTTACTAAAAAGATATATCATAAAACATCTACAATTATACTCCCCATTCCTTTCATAACTAATAACAACATATTTGGTTCCAAATAATTATAGAATAGTTAGAATGAATACATGCTTATGGAATACAGTTTGGCAAGATATAATAAAAATGACAAATCTCAAAAGATAACTGAATCCAAAACAATTTTAAAACAAAAACAAGGATCATAGTATAAAAAAATGAGTATTTGACTACTAGCATTAAGAACTGTCCATTGTCACTAGAAAGGCTTTCTTCCCACAGGTCTTTGGTCTTCAATGGAAGTAGCTAGGGTGGTAGTTCAACAGAGTAAGATGTAAAGATTGCCATAGCTTTCTTTAAGTCTAAACAATAAAAAGTAATTAACATGATGCACATGTCAGTGGGACTGAACAAAAATTCAGAGAGCTAATAACAAGCTTAGCATCAAGAAATAAAAAGTACTTTCCCTCATTGACCATGCTACTTTCAAAGACCACCCAAGTCCAAGTCTGCTTCCTAAAACAAGAGAAGCCACTGCTCTTCACTTCTAGGCTCAGTCTAAAAACAAAAACAAACAAACAAAAATGGTCAAAGTGTCCATGTGTAGCCCACCCTGGCACTTTCATAAACAATGAACTGACGACCCTTTACACACATGGTCTAGCCATCTTAATATCAAGATGTTAAGATATTGGGCTCTACCAGAACATTACCACCTACACCAGTGACATCATCTGCACAGAATGATTAATTCACAGTTGCGTGTCATCCTTGGGAAACTAAAGAAAACCATCACTTACATAGTCTTTTGTAAAGTTAACTTGTATAATCCTGACTGAGAAAAAGGCTAACCAATTAAGTAAGACTAACTTAAATGAAAGCCCTAAATTATACTTTTAACCCAGTCTAAAGTAAATATCCCAATCAACAACTGAAATTCAGCTCTTAACAGTGGAGAGAAAGTGTGTAATTGTGTGTAAATGTGTGTAAATTAGTGCTCTTTACACAAGGCAACCATTATGTGTTTGAAAGTGACGAAACTCCCTTCTAGATCTCAAAAAGAACTCATCACTTCACATACATGCTTTCAGAGTCAGAAATGGGAGGTACCATGGCAGCATTTGATTATTCTTTAAAGAACAAAAGATTCTCAACATCAATAAAGATTATATATTACTTAGGTAGTAAGTTGTTATTTGTGGGCTGGAGAGATAGCTCAAGAATTAAGATCACCAGCTACACTTCCACAGGACCAGGGTCCAATTCCTAGAACCCACAATCCACATGGCATGGCCATTCACAACCATTCCTAATTCCAGTTCCAGGGGATCCAGGCCCCTCTTCTGAACGCCACAGGCATCAACACATACAGGTGATATACATACACACATTCAGACAGAGACGCAAAGCAAAATAAATTAATCTAATTTATTTAAAGTTTTTATTTGTAAACAAAATGACCAAAAAAAACAAAAAACAAAAAACAAACAAACAAAAAAAAAAAACACAAACCAAAAACCAAAACCAACTGTTCAAAAACAACATATCACTAGAGAACAAAGGGACTCTAGTAGAAACACACTTTTAGTATAAAAGCAGGCAAAACGGCTTTACTATCCAATAAACTCCATCTTGGGATTGGGGACACAAGCTAACAGGTGACACTCATGTAAACATGCAGCTCTCAGAGGCTTTCTCACCAAGCCTTGTATACACCCACTGTCTGGGAAGGTGTGAGTCCAGCAGGAAGCCCCATCACTGATGGGTGGTGACATTCTTTTTGAAGTTACTGGTAAACTTTGCAAACATTAGGCTTCCATACATTATAACTCTAAATAGAGACAAAAGAACTTTTTTGGAGTGCGTGGGGCTTGAGACAGGGTCTCACTATGTTATCCCTGACTGTCTTGAAACTTACTCTGAAGACGAGGCTGGCCTCAGACTCACAGAGATGCACCTACCTCTGCCTCCAAAGTGCTGGAATTAAAGGCAAGCACCACCACTGCCCAATAAGACAAAAGAACTTTTAACATTTTCCTTTGCCCAATTACCTAGCCAAATTACCACATTCCACAAAAATATTTAGTCTTTTTCAGAAAAAACAGTAAATAATCAAATTGTTTATCCTTATAACACCACGTCTAAGGGATCTAAGCCCTCTCCTCCCCACATTTCAAGGGTGCAACTCATCTACAACAATACAACAGTCCCAGCCTTTGTCTCTGAAGACTACTAGTTAGAGCTGCCAGGTACCTTGAAAAGAAAGCAGACTTGACAGCTTTCTGAATAAAGGAAAGTATAAATGACTCGGGAAAAGAAGGGAAGGCAAAGATCCTGAAAAAGGATGTGCCAAATTAAAGTATAAAGACAGACAAGTGGAATGTTTCAGAACAACCACACTCACATCCTGAAGGGAGATGTCATTCTGTTATTATGTTTCTTTTATTGGTTACAGAATAAAGCACTGTTGGCAAATAGGAAGGCAAGATAGGTGGGACTAGGAGACAAAAAGGATTCTGGGAGATGTAGTACACAGGAGTCAAAATGTAGTAAAGGGAGTAAGAAGTCCGGACCCTATCTCCAGTAAGACCACTTAGATTGATAGAAATGGGTTAACATTTAAGACAGAGCTAGCCAATAAGAAACACTAGTAACAGGCCAACAGATTTATATCCAATATAGATAGAGTCTGTGTGTTATTTTGGGGCTCATGCAGCTCTGGGACCAGACTGGCAGGAAACTGCTCGTAACAAAATAGCACCTACAACATGGGTACTAAGAACTTCCACTTAAAACTTGACAAAAGCTTAAAATGGGATTTTTAGAAACAAAAGAACAGAGACAAACAAGGCTTCTTGGTAGCAGCATTTTTCTCAAGCGGGTTCTGTTTTGCTAGAGACAACCAGAGACTGGTATGGCTCCTTTAAGAGAGTCTTCCTGATTGGGCATGAGCAGCAAAAAACCACAGAGCTCTTTTAAGAAGCCCTGCTAACAGTTGAATGGTGTGTACGAGCAGCTGGCAATGGCAGTGACGATATCTCCAAGCTGGCAGCATAGACCAAGGCAGTGAGCACAGCTTTCACTGCTGAGAGTAAATGTACCCCTGCCATATTGGAAAGCAATGTGTTGTTTCGTAGATAAAGCACTCATGGCCACAAAAAGATAAAGATTTACAGTAAAGACAGATTCAGATAAAGAAAAACCTATAAAGGGTTTTAGTGTGTTTAAAAATACAGATAGGCTTGGGAGATTCAAAAAAAAAAAAAAAAAACCAGGATAAAGTGTTTAAAAAAAAAAAATAGAAAGAAAGAGAGTAGCTGAGTATGGTGGCACACGTCTTTAATTCCAGCACTTGGGAGGCAGAGGCAAGCAGATCTCTGATTTCAAGGCCAGCCTGGTAGTATACAGAGTGAATTCCGGGGCAGCCACCGTTACACAAAGAAACCCTATCTCAAAAATTGAAAAAATAGAAGTAAAAAATAGAGTAATAAAAAAGCCACACGAAGAAGTACACAGAGAGTCTGGATACTGTATGCTTTTGTGTTGTCTTTGAACTGCTCAAATGATAAGGAAGGAACAACAACTGTTAAAACACACTTGATTATCAATGCTGCTGAACTGACCCAATTTATTTATTTTAAAAATGCTTTGACTTCGAAATTGAAGTCTAAGGACAGGTTACTGGGGAAAAGAATTTGTTTTTGTTTCCATAGAAAATGAAAAGCTATGGATTCCTTCCAGACTAACATGGTTTGATCAAGCAAGACCCCCTGAAACAGTGTCCCAGGTAACCCAACATCCAAAACAGTGGGGACAAGGCAAGCTTGCAGACCACTACAACCAGCATTTCTGCGATTTCTTAGGATCCCCAAGACAGCACCCCCTAACAGCAGGAAACAGTTGGAAAGAACAACACACAAATTCCCAAATATTGTTTATGTTTGTTTTCATTTAATGGGGTTGGTTATAAATGCTTAATGATCACAACCAATCTTTTTTTAAAGGTAAAAAAGGAATTATGGTATAGGAATCAATACTTTGTTTTAGAATGGATTTTCAGTTATTGATAACAAATTTAAGGTCAATTTTGTGATATGTATATTTCTCCTCTTATTTAGGTATTGTGTTTATATAGCTCATTTAAAAATGTAATCTAATTTAGTACAGATTATAGACAGTTATCAGTAACAGTCTAAATTTATAGTCATGTTAGTTAGGATTTCTAGATATACAGATACAGAGATATATTTGAGATGGATAAGTATTCTTCAAACCTTTCAAAGACCTATAGCATATGGCATTTAAAATGGTTTAGGGTTTTCTTAACAATGAGACACAACTGCTCCTGGCAACACCACCTGCATCAGAAAGGAAGATGGACGATTAAGAAACTTGTTAGGGAGTTTTCTTCCAATATGGCAAGACTAGCCATTTGAGCAAGATACTGCTCTTGTCTAGACTGTTTGACTTTGTGCTGTATAATGGACATGCAGGACCCACAGAAAAGTGACTGCTGAAACAAAATGGAATTGATGTAGGATTCCTGCTTCATGGAAGAGTCTGCCAGACATTCTGCAGGACACAGAGAAAAATGACTGACAAACTGCCAATACAGGTAGACAGTTTAAAGTTTCCTGCTTTGCTAAGGAGTCTGCCAGAAACTCTATTGAGCATATGCTGAAGACGGAACATTAGGGAAGAACTTCGGGTAACTGACCAGGCAGCGAGTTATCTCTGTCATTTCTAGAGTTTATATATTATCCTTCTGTGATCTTTGATGGAGTTGAAGACAGATAGTTATGGTTATAGTTTTCCTATTAAAGATAAGTTACATAAAAGACTTTAGACTCACAAAGATAGGATAGATGATGGAATATTTTCCTTAAATCTTGCTAAATGTTAATGGAGTAAATATTATAGGATTAGGAGACAAGAAGATTCTGGGATATGTAATACAAAGGAATAGAAATGTAGGACCAAGAGGAGTAAGCGGTCCAAACCCTTTCTCCAGTAAGATAAGACCACATGGAAACACTTAAGAGTGATAGAAATGGATTAACAGTTAAGGCAGAGCTAGCCAATAAGAAACGCTAGTAATAGGCCAACAGCTTTATACCTAACACAGAGTCTCTGTGTTATTTTGGGGCTGATGTGGCTCTGTGACCAGGCTGGCAGGAAACTGCTTGTAACAACATCCCAGGAGGGAGATAAAATGAATACTAACAACTATGATAATGAGATGAGTTTTTGATGATGGCAGCTTAGTGCTCACTAGGAGAATTTGTATGTGCCCTGGAATATATATGCTGCTTTCGCCTTTTAAGTAGTAAAAACAACCATGTTGTCGTTTGAATGAAAATGGCCCCTTAGAGGTTAGGAAACAGGAGAAGCCCCAAGTGGGGGAAATCCTGAGAATATGTTTTTGAGATGCATACGATTATTTTGAGGACTCCATGGCCAACTGACCCATGGGAAAGTGGCAAAAGTCATTACACTCATGTGGGCTAGGCTCAAGAAGAATGGCAAAGCTTTCCTTGGAGTCAGAGTCCAATTATGAACTGACCTGTGTGGGCAAAGACTATCAGTTTCCTCCTCCCAGATGTTTACTGCCTGAAACTGCTCCCCTATACAGACTTTCTACCAATACTAGCTTTCCCCTTCTCCTGTGTTGTACATAATGAAAAAGCTGAGGGTCCAACAAGTAGCTGGAGGTAGCTCAAGGCAATGTTAAAGAAACTCACCTGATCCCAGGTTCACTGCATGTGTGCCTGTCTTTTCTTCATTTACTCACTGTTCCTAGCCAGGGTTCCAGGCTCCAAGCTTTGAATGACAAGGTACCATAGGTTCATATATATGAATGCTTGGTCCTAGCTGGTAGAATTGTTTGGGAAGGATTAAGAGATATGGATGGCCTTGTTGGAAAGGTATGTCACTGGGGGGGCAGGATTTGTGGTTTCACATGACTCACACTATTCCACTGTGTCTGTGGTGTTCTCTGCCTCTTATCCGTGGATCAAGGCTTGAGCGAGCTCTCAGCTGTCCCTGCCACCACACCTTTGCTTTGCCATCATGAACTCAAACCCTCTGTAACTATCAGCTCAACAACACTTTTCTATTAAGTTGCTTTGGCCATGGCATTTTGTCACAACAATAGAAAATAACTAATACAAAGCACAAACAATGGTATTTCAAAATAAAGGTAAGTGACTAAGATGTGGCTGCCAATTTCAGTACCAACATACAAGTACACACATGAGAGAGAGAGACAGAGACAGAGACATGGACAGAGAGACAGACAGAGAGAGATCATCAAGGTGATGAGGCCTTCGTCTTGATTTTTATCTAGACCCAAATAAAAAGGTATGTAGACTTTGATATCCTTTGAGCCTTGTCTTCCTGTTCTCCTAAAGTCCAAGCAGCACACTGAAAATGCAATCTTCTTGAGCAGTCAGCATGGCTGGGAGTGGCCCCAAAAGTTTCATTGTTTTAGAGAAATGTTTCTACCACTAAGCAATATTCCCAGCCACTGGGGTGACTATGAAACTCCAATTAGACCCAATGATCAGTGGGAAAAGGCACAAATTATAGATAGGGATAGGGTAACTGCTGTCACCCAGCAACAATTTGAGAAAGGTCTTCAACAGCTAACTCAACATCCAGTTAATGATCTCTATAAGCTAGTCGCTGAACACTTAGGAACAACAGACAGAGAGAACCCAAAAGGATGACTACAAGGATGTTACAAGTGCAAAATAAAACCAATTTAGTTCTGGCTACCTGAGGAGCAGTCGAGTAGAAGAGAGCCAGTACCCTGCCAAACATCCCTATATCACCACCTCAGTACAGTAAGGAACACAGGGCATGAAGGAGAGTAGCTTTGGACCATATACTCCCAAAGAAAGCCATTAAAAAAATAAATATTTTTAAATATTTCACTTAAACACATAACCCAGAAGTGGTTGTCTGGCAGAATGATTAGCACAGCAAAGCTGAACGCCAGTCTCCCATATATCACACACCCTCACCAACAGTCAATCATAATAAGATATGGAGACATCTGGAGTAGAAATGAAGACTGGGGAAACAGGCCAAAATAGATAGATAGATAGATAGATAGATAGATAGATAGATAGATAGATAGATAGATAACCCATAGGCCAAAACCAAAAATTACCCAAAGTTTCTGGAATGTTCCTTCTCTCTCTAGTTACATCTGAAAGCCTAATAATTGTTCCTTCTTTCCTTTCAGTTTTGAAACGCAATCTTCCAGATTCTTCATCGTCATCATCTTCTTCATCTGATTCTTCTTTTATGTCCTTCTGGAGTTCCAGGGTTTCCATTCCTCCCTACAAACAGACAGAGATAAACAAGGAGAGGTGAGTTCATAGTCACTTAAAATGTAAGGATACTTCTAAGATCCTAGTAAAGGGCTGTGTGAAACATGACAACTCCAGTGGAAAGAAAACTTCACATATTAAAAGGAAACTTACCTTTGGAAAGCCTTCAAATTCCTACCTGTAGTTAATACATGAGGACTTCCTAAACTGTTGCTACTCACACTTGCTAGAACACAGACATCAGGTGAACATCCCTGCTGCCTTATGTCTAATTCCAGACCTCAGCAAAGTTCCCACACAACTTAATTTGTGTATGACTACAATGTAACATAACATCTGTAAATCCATACCATCGAGGTAACACTAGAGTCAACAGTACAGAATCCATCTGGTAGCTACAATGGCTACTTCAGCAACATACACTGAACAGCTCATAATTCCAAACCACATATACTTTGACCTTCTGTCAGCTGTTCCTGTCAGTTTTGGGGTTCGTGGCTGCTTGCTACTGCTGGAGTCTTCACAACACTTCACTATGCCTTCCCTTCCTATTTACTTCACTCTTGTTGTCTACAGAGTTAACTTACCACATACTTAGTGTTGAGACCAATAAAAAAACCAAACCATTCCTTTGCCACTTTTTCATACTAAAACCAAGTTTTCCTTTAGCAGAGTCCCTTACAAAAACTCCCTCAGTGCCAAACCCAAACTAAAGCATATGTTTTCATACAATTCTACCTTCTGAGCTCCTATGGCCCTATTACCTCCCTCTCAGGTCAGTCTCAGCAGCACACTGGCAGCTGAAGACAGGCATGCACTGATTATAGGGTTCATGTAAACACTTTCTAACAATGTTTAAAAAAAAAAAATGCAGCTTGCCTCTTCATTATCACGAATGATTCTTTACTCTTAAAAAAAAAAACACACACACAAAAAGGCACACTGTTAGAAAAAACAAAAGAAGCTAAAACCAAAGAATCACTGTGAATTGTCTTTTAAAAAAAAATGCAGCTTGCCTCTTCATTATCATGAATGATTCTTTACTCTTAAAAAAAAAAAAAAACACAAAAAGGCACACTGTTAGAAAAAACAAAAGAAGCTAAAACCAAAGAATCACTATGAATTGCCTTTGCCTAAACATTCTCATTGTGAAAAGCTAACAGTAAGACAGAATTTATAACAAGTAGTACAAAAAGAACACAGCTCCAGGAATCCAAATGCTGAACATGGAGACTGACAGTTCACTTTTAGTCTAATGAAGCTATGGCTATTCAGTTCTGTGAGGTTCAGCATGGTGGAGAATTCTGCGCCCCAGTATTTCATTCTTGCTAATGTAACACTGCCTCTTCTATATCATTGTATACAATTCTGAAAATAGAATGAGTGGCATGTATGATGATCCCTCAAGGCACCAATGCCACTATGTCCCTACTGTACCTCCAAATACTCAGGCAGGACTGTTCTGTCTTAGCGTACTCCAGTGAATGGAGATCCTGATCAGAAGCTGATTCTGAACTTGGAAGGCCAGAGTGGGACCTGAGAGTCCACATTCCTCACAAGCTTCCAGTAAGGCCAACTCTTGGATCCACAGACCATATTCAGTAATATGGCCACAGAGAGGAAATCATTTACACCAAAGAAAAAACCTTATTGTAGCAGTTATGTGATACAAAGAAGGGACTACTAAAATTTGGTATTGATTAGAAAATCACCACCAGGAAACTAGAATAGAAAAGAACATCTTCAATCTGAGAGCAAGACTCAAGCTAGCACTTAGTGACTTGCTCCTAGCACTAAAAATAAGGCAAGAAAGTCTGCTTTGAAGCTAGACTTTGAAGCTTGCACTGGAAGTCAGTAAGTCAACAGAAAGAAAAGGATTCTGGTTACAAAAAAAGAACTAAAATGCCTTCATTAACAGATAATTTGTTAAAATATTAACCTGGGGGCTAGAGAAATGATTCTGTGGTTAAGAGTACATACTGCTCCATCAAAGTATCTAAACTGAGTTTTCAGCACCCACATCATGTGATTTACAACCCCCAGTAACTCCAGCACTAGCAGATCATACACCCTCTTCTGGTATACATGGGCACTTGCACTCATGTATATAACCAAACACGAATGTAAACACACACGTGCGCACGCATGCAAACACAGACACAAATAAAGAAATAAAACCTTTAAAAATTAAAATAAACTTAAAATAATGAACTTGTCCATTTTAATCTAGAGATACATGGCCATATCTATCAAAGCTCTAACCAGACTTCTAGTAGACATTGACAATTACATTACACAAAAGAACCTTAGAAAAATAAAGTTGGTGGGTTTACACTACCTGGTTTCCGTTGCATTTTTCCAACCGTTAAATTGCTAACATACAGACTTTATAAAATCAAATTAACGGAGCAAAAAGATGGAGGTTTAAAAAAAAAAAAAAAAGCCAGCTGACAACACAAAAACTACCCTGACTTGATGGGAAGGAAAGCCTTCATAGCAAACCAGTGCAACAGCTGGAAAAAAATCTTTATTTAAAAACAATGGATTACTCTCATATTTCAGATGCTATTAGACAAAGCAACCTCTAACTCTAAACTAACACTATTTAACAACACAAACCTTCCACAAGAAAAGAAGCTAATTTTACAATCATGGGGTAGTCAAAATTTTCTTAGGTCACAAATCTACTTGGTCTTCATCCACTTAAAAAGTTTAAATTTGGCTAGGGAGAATAGCTCAGGGATAGAGCATTTAACTGCAGATCAAGAGATCCCTGGTTCAAATCCAGGGGCCATAATTTTAGGAAGGAGGCAAGGGGTGATGGGAGAAGGGGTGGGAGAGATAACTATGGTTGGAATGTAAAATGAAATCAAAAAAATAAAATATGGAAAAAAATTAAGTTTGGGGGTTGGGAAAATGGCTCAACAAAAGACCCAGGAGGTCTGATGACATCTCTTCTGACCTTCAAAAGTACTACACACACATGGCATGCCAGCATGTTATAGGCAAAACTCCCATATAATTATATTCATTTATTTGTTTACAGCCATAACACCCTGAATTATCTAATCTCATTTAAACACAAATTTCAGAAAATGAAGACAGAATTCAGAGATTCAGAAAACATAATTTCACAAACTAACCTACTTGATATCTAAAATATATATAAACACTTAACTAGCAACCATTCTCAAGATCACAGACACTAAGAACATACAAATAAACTATGCTGTCATATTAGACATAGAGCAAAGAATTACCAGGCTCTAATCCACACCTCCAGAGAAGCTAGGAAGCAAGGAGGATCCTAAGAGAGACATACATGATCCTCCAGAGAAGGGGAAAGGGATAAGATCTCCTCTGCAAACTGGGAGTACAGTGGGGGGAAGGGGTAGGAGAAAGAAGAGGGGAGAAGAAAACGGGGGGGGGGGGGGGGGACATGAGGGATCAGGAAGATTGAATCCGGGGAAGAATAGAGGAGAGCAAGAAAAGAGATACCTTCATAGAGGGAGCCATTACAGGTTTAAAGAGAAATCTGGCACTAGGGAAATGTCTAGGAATCCACAAGGATGACCCCAAACTGAGAATCTAAGTAATAGTCTAATGACCTTCCCCTACAATGAGATTGGTGACTACCTTAAATGACATTCTAGAGCCTGCATCCAGTAGCTGATGGAAGCAGAAGCAGAGATCCACAGCTAAACACTGAGCCAAACTTCTGAAATCCAATTGTAGAAAGGGAGGAGTGATGATCAAAGTTGTCAAGACCATGCTGGGGAAACCCACGGAAACAGCTGATCTGAGCAAGTGAGAGCTCATGGACCCCAGTCTCACAGCTGGGGAACCAGCTCAGGACCAAACCAAGGCCCCTAACGTGGGTGTCAATTGGGAAGCCTGGGCAGTCTATGGGGCCACTAGCAGTGGAACCAGTATTTATCCCTAGTGCACGAATGGGATTTTGGAGCCCATTCCCTATGGAGGGATACTCTCAGCCTAGACACGTGGGAAAGGGCCTAGGCCCTGCCCCAAATGATGTGACAGACTTTGAAGGCCTCACCCTCCCTGGGGAGTGGATGGGGTGTGGGATAGGGGTGGTGGTGGGGGGGGATATGGGAGGATGGGAGGGAGAGGGAACTGGGATTGATATGTAAAATAAGATTGTTTCTAATTTAAATAAAAATTTATAAAAAAAAAAAAGAAAAAACTATACTGTCTATGTAGAGTAAAATTATAGAAACAATCTCAATAAAGACTTTATATATTCTGTAACATATAAAAAGACAACATGTGGTTGGGCAGTGGTGGCACATGCCTTTAATCCCAATACTCGGGAGACAGAGGCAGGAGGATTTCTATGAGTTGAGGCCAGTCTGGTCTATAGAATGAGTTCCAGGATAGCCAGTACTGTTTCACAGAGAAACCTTGTCTCAAAAAAACAAAAACAAAAACAAACAAACAAACAAAAAAAACTCACCCTGCTTAAAGACAACTAAAACCAAACCCGATGGACTATATAAACTCCAAAAGAATACATGAACAGTGCTCAGTATCATTAGCCATCAAGGAAATGAAAGCAAAACCCAAAATGATACAGCCATTGAAGGGCTGAAGAAAAACACCAGTAGCAAATGAGGAACAAGGAGAACTCTCAACCAGATGAAGGGTATAAAACAGCACAATCACTTTTAGAAAACCATTTGGTAATTACCCTCAAACAAACAAACAAACCATGCTAGCCTAGCTTGGTAATTCTACTAATACCTAACAACAAATCAAAAAATGTATATCCACAAAATGGTAAACATTCAACCATAACACAACAACAACAGCAAAAAAAAAAAAAACACTAGAAACAACCAATTATCTTAGAAGAGGAAAAGAAACAATAAGGTCTATCAATAAACGGAATAACCATTGCTACATATATGTACTTGAATTAATTAAAAACTATGTTAAGCAAAAACAGCTAAACATGAGGTTATGGGTGTAGCTCAGTGGCACATCCCTTGTTTAACATGCTTTAGATGCTAGGTTCAATCCCCAATACCACAAAAACAAAGGGGGGAAGCAAGCAGACCCTAAGATGAACTTCTAGTATAATTACATCAAATAAAGTGGGGAAAAACAAAAGTGTTAGCCTCTGGAAAGCTGGGACTTTAAAAAGCCAGTGTTTCCTGGCTTAAGCCATTTCTTTGCTTTGGGTGTTAATATCAGGGCTTTAGACTCCTCCAATCTTTCCTCTGTGAGTACTGGATGTAAACCAGCACTTTCTTCTAAGCTGAATTTGACATTTTATACTTTGTGTCTCACTCTTTCAAATAAATTAAAACCTAGAAAAAAGTAAGATTAGTATAAAGAGCCTCTTCACCCCAATTGTGCAGCTGTAGAAGAAAGTGTCTAATTGGGTGTTAATATCAGGGCTCTAAAAGAATACTTTCATCTTTTCTATGTGAGTGCTGGGTATAAAACAGGAAACTTTCCTTTAAGCTGAATTTGACTTTTCTGGAGGGTAATAGGATTGTCCCTCATAAATGACAGTAAGATAGGATAAAAAGATGGGAAAGTACGGAAACACCAAGATAAGAAAGGAGAAACCTCTCACAAGTGGCAAATCAACGATTTCAGCATAATTAACAAGATAAATCATGAGGGCTGTCAACAGAATCACAATATCCCTTTTATATAGAGATATATTCAAAAAAGAATTCGAAAATACAATGAAACACTCTGAAGGCCTTGAGGTTGTCCTTACTCCTTTCCCATATATTTTATGAGAATCTCATAACACAATTAACTTTACAATAAAAACATTCTAATTCAATCTGCCATTCTTATGACCTCATCAGTTGAAATCCCATCAAAGCACTTCAGAGAGCTACCTATGATCTCATTTAAATTTCTCAGTATCTTGAAGAACCTACATGTGTTAAGGGTATGTGGCTCCTATCAAAACATAATTCAGTGTGACTAAGGCTGGGAAGAGCTTATTTTTTTCCGTGGGAGTCTTTCTTTTAACCCTGTGTAATTCTCATTCTCTCATTATCTCTCTCTCTCTCTCTCTCTCTCTCTCTCTCTCTCTCTCTCTCTCTCTCTCTCTCTCTCTCTCTCTCTCTTCCTCTCTCTCCCTAGCTCGCTTTCTCTCATTCAACTCTACTTCATTCTAGTTTATCCTGAAATTCTTCCTTGTGGTAAAAGACAAGAATCTCAGCTTCACCTGACTGGAGGACTTTGAAAAGAAATCAGGCTGCTTGCTGTAGGTGATTGTGTAGACCTGTGTCTCTGGCTTGCACCTGACAAGATGGTAAACTGGGTATATTCATGAATAAAAACTTAAATCATTGATACATAAATTACTGATTCACTGAATATAAACTATTACTCTCTCTCTCTCTCTCTCTCTCTGTGTGTGTGTGTGTGTGTGTGTGTGTGTGTGTGTGTGTGTGTGTGTGTGTGTGTGGTGTGTGTATGGTGTGGTGTGCAGTGCATGCACACATGCCAGGAGGTCACTGAGTATCTTCAATCAGTCTCTCCCTTAATCCCTCAGACAGATCTTTCACTGAATCCAAAAATCCCTATTTCTGCTAGACTATCTGGCCAGTGAACTCCCATGAGTCACTTGTGTATAACACTCCAATACTGGGATTAACAGAAAACTCTGGTCATGACTAAATAATCCCAGTCTAAAAGCAATCACTATGGCTATTTTATTTCCATTCAGACTTTTGACTGTTTTTAGATTTACAAACAATTTAGACACAGAGCATAGTGGAGCTAAGAGCAAAACATATGGCCTAGCCCTTTTGACTTAATTAGACCAATCTTTCCATGGTGGACAGCAAAGGGAAGACATGGGTTCCTCTCCTATGGAGCCAGTATGGTGACTTAATGGAATGTTTACACTACCGACACACACACATACTAGGGCTTTACATGTACAAGGATTTTCACTCCATCTTACATTACCCCTTTAAATAAATTCACTAAAGTAGAAGTGTTGAGTCAAAGGACAACATGCTTCGGGGTTGCTGAGCCTGTCAAGGACAGTGAGGGTGTTTAAAGCTAGCAAAGTGGTCTGACACAGACCCATGGAAGATGTGAGAAGACCAGGACTTGGTAGAACTGGGCTGAATCTTGAGTCACCTCCCCAGAAGCAGCACTTCCCTGAGGCCCTGCTCACCCACAGCACTGTGATCATGACCAGAGAGATCTGTCCCCCCTTACATGTGGGACCTCTGTTCTGACATATAAACAGACCTGCGGCTTTTTTTCAAAGCCACTGGGTACACAAGCACACCTAGACAGAGAACAAAGAACAAGTAGTTATATGCTCACAAAATATGCACAAGCGTGGGGGAGGGGGGCGCAAGCCTTTAACTCCAGCACTCCAGAGGCAGAGGCAGGCATATTTCTGTGAGTTCAAGACCAGCCTGGTCTACAAGAGCTAGTTCCAGGGCAGACTCCAAAACAACAGAGAAACCCTGTCTCAAAAAAAAAAAAAAAGCAGAACCCAGAGAAATGGGTTTGTGACATTTCTAATACATATTCCCTAACAAAGTAAACCTACATCTTCCAATAATGGCAGGTTTTGCCAATATTAAAACAGGTTTAATCCTTACCTTGTTGCATATATTTTCATATGCTTATGGCTCATTTGTTTACCTCACAAGGACATATGCATCAAATTTTTCCTTTCCAGCCTTTGATCAACCAAAGACTGTCTTGCGGCCTTCCATCTGCTCCGCTCCCTCCTTTCAGGTCGTCTTGATTTCTATCTCAAGTGGCCTTGAAGGCCTGAGCAAGCTGGGTGAGTAGTGTGCTGGGCAGAATGATTCTGAAAGCTATGGGCAACTAGGCTGCCTGTCCTGGGGCTCCTTCAACTCTGTCATGGTTCCCTGGATTAGACACCATCCTTCTCCAACTGCACAATCAGGGTAAATAGTCTCTTACACTAGTCTCATTTATTGTTGTAATTTATTTCAAAGAGTGAGAGTAAGACACAAAGTACAAAAGAAAAAGTCCAAACAGCTTACACCCAGCTCTCACAGAGAAAAGAATATGTATTCTTTTAAAGCCCTGTTGTTAACACTAACACTCAATGGAAAGAAATAGCTTAAGCCAGGAAACACCGACTTTTGTGTCTCTTTTCTCTGGAAGATAGAAGAGAACATTAAAGAAATTATTAGAGGAAAAACAGGTTAAGTTTTAAGAAAGTCGCCAGAGCCAACAAAGTTTTCTGGCCTATTATATAGTCCTAACTACAGTGCCTACCCATCCTCAGTGAGAGAGCAGCTTGGAATTACCAGAGGCCCACTGTTCTTTCAAGAGGACTTCAGCGGTCATATTTTCCACATAGCTTCAGACATGGACCCCTTCCATACTCCTGGGAACTGTTACTTTGAGCTGTGCATAATGGTAATTTTAAGCACCTTCTTCCTATATTAGCCTGCAACTTCCTTGGGGGCAGAAACCCAGGTCATCAGTTTCTTCAACATCTAAGACAGAACTTAAAACAGAAAATCTTGCAGTGTTTCTTGAATAATGGTCCAAATTAGCTAATACTAACTAATTAAAATAATTATAGCACTGATTTCAAGGCACTGATATCGTACTTTTGAAACTCAGCCCTAAATATCCCTTTTTAACACCAGCACTTGGGCCAGCTACTATATTCAGCAGGTGAAGCATTTGTTGTACAAGTCTTATGAAGTTGAGTTTGACCCCTTAGAACACTCTCAGAACCCACATAACAGTAGGAGAGAAGAGACTCAAGCTGCCCTAACCATGTGTGTGCCATGCAGATACTCACAAACACACATGCACGCTCGCGCACGCATGCGCGGACACACACACACACACACACACACACACACACACACACACACACACACCATTAACATGCAATAATAAAAAGACAAGCATTACTGATCCAGGGCACATACTTCTCACAGGCACCAGACATCAAAACTCATGTCTCTAGACACAGTCTTGGGTTTCTACTACAACGCAGTTTACAGACAAATCAACTTTTCACTAACACTTAAACGGCGGGGGTTGGGGCTCATTTTAAATCTGGAAAAAAAGAAACTCAGGAAACTGTAGAAGTTGAATAAGTACCTCGTGGGTCTCAGAAGCAACCTGGGAATCAGTAATCTCATCTAAGTCATCTTCAGCCTCACAGTCTTCCCGCACTTGCAGCCCTTGTTGCCCACCATAAGCCTGCAAGTATTCTTCATCCTAACGGCCATTAAAGAGAAGAAACATTTTTCTCAAAAAGCTTTTGGGTGTTTTCAACCACTTTTCATGTACGATTCATGCAGAGTTATTTTAACACATTCTATTGTGATGCCCTGAGCGAGCACACAGCATAGGAGCTTCTTCTGCATGGTCATGCAAACCAAGCGTACATGCTGGTCCAGCAATGAGGACAGTGGCAATGGCTCAGTTTCAGGCCCAAGCCCCCGTTGAACAGCCTTCACGGCTGTGCCCAAAGAAAAAGCCTTACAAAACCCAGGCTTGTGTGCTCACTGAGGAGCTTGGCAGCAGCAGGAGCCAATCACCCAAGCCTCTTGACAACCTAAGGCCAGAGACAACAGAGTGGGACAATTTGACACAGCAAATTGCCTTTCAGACATCACACTACAGTGGATTCATCAGGCCTTTCTTTCCCTTGGGTGAAAAGATTATTCCAAGTTTTTCATGAAATGGGAAGGGCTTATCAATAGGCAAGCTTGTCCCTTCTGGGCTTAGGCAAGGTAGAAGGCAAGGTAACTGGAGACTGGCACTGGCAAAGAAAGCAGATTGACAGCTGCTGGCATTACCACAAAGTAATGAGGGAGGGAGAGCTGACCTGCCTGCTTCTCAAGGTGATCCTAACACTGCATTCCACTATGCACAAAAACTGTTAGCATCCCATCAAAAAGATACTAACCAACATTTCAACCAAATAACACCATGGAATAGTCTGCTACTTTCTACACAAATGGTAAATTTGAACTCAATTTTACAAAACAGTGTTTTACGAAATCTCATTTGGTGTTAACTACACAGTGAATACACTCTAATGTCACCAACAAATACTATTCTGTTGGCTACTGAGCAATACAGTTCTTACTGTTACCAGAATACAGATTGTAAAATGAAATCAGGCTCAACAATGATGCTTGCAAAATTCACCTTACCCAATAAAACAAACCTCTGGAGCTGTGCTGAAGTTTCTCAACACCCCTGCCATCTCCCTTTCTTCAAAGGTGACAGAATACCTTCTAGTTACAAAATTTGTGTTATGGTCTTAAGGATTCTATGGCCAGTTCTAAACCAAATCTATGATTTTATAGGTGGGCTCTCACAAGAAAGCCTGTGCTTGTGGGTCACATTTCAGAGTTAATTTTGGCTATGACAAGGAACCAGTTTAAACCACTCAATAAACTGAATACCCCTATGGGTATTCTATTCACATGTTTACTGGTGCCATGACAATATGCCCATCAGGGACAGACAAGGCCTGGCTGCTCAACAAGAGCAAAGTATTCCACAGCTTCATTCTGATCTCTTCCTACTCAGGGCAGTCACTTCAGACACTACCACTGTTCTATCCATGAAGAAAGAAAATGATGGCTGTGGCTCTAACAGCAATAGTAAAGTAGGCTACCACTGCTCACAGAACATTCATCTGCAAAATATTAGCACATTCATAATTTCTAAGTGAAATTTGAAGTTTCTGAAGCTTTTGTAAATTTTGGGAAAGAGTTCATTTTAATGTAAAAGAGTTCCATAAATGTTTCAATGGAAATATTTTATTCTTTTAATTACCTGAATCTTGAACCACATGATGCTGATTTGCTTAAGTAGATTTTGTATTATTCCTGGAATTTTACATAGTCCTATGTTGGATAACAAAACATTTAAGAAGAAAACTTCTCTCTGACTGTAAGCTCTCTCTTCACAAGTCTATAGGACAAAGTGGCTGAGCAAACTCAACCCTAATACACACTTTCCATGCTTCTTATGGCTCAACAATATTTTATGTCTATCTGTTAATAAAGATGTGCTGACTACTTAAGAGAGTAAAGGACCCAAGAAGTGAACAGCTTATGTTACAAATGAACTATAACAGTCAAATACTACAAGAAAACAAGACACATTTTCAAGAAGACCTTGGGTTAATTCAACAAGCATTTTAAATTACAGTGTCTCATATAAGCAAGCATACCAGTATTAGAGGACACTGTCCAGCTACTGAAGGACTGATTACTAAAATACATCATTATAGGGCTACAGACATCAGGCTCCAAGTTGCTGTTTCATGACTCTACTGACCACAAACTATACATACTTTCTGAAGAATAAGGCTCTACCTCATGAGACATCAAAGCACAGCTATGACTGAACAAAATATTTTCAAGATCTTTATCACCAACCCCTTGTGAAGTAGGCTGCTACACACATAAATGACCAAGAATCATTAACTGTTGGCTGCTGTCCTCAAATGCAAGCACACACTAAATGATGCCACCACAAGTGAGAGTGCTACTACTACCAACAAGGGTTCTACAGGTCCTGATACTACACATCTCCAGCGCATCTCAGCAGCCCGACCACCACTCTGTCTTCATGGGACCCCAATGAAATTAAACCCTTAGGCATTATACAATGAATCAGTAACATCTTTCCAGTATGAATGCCATTAGGTGCTGTTTTTTTTTTTTTAAAAAAACACAAGCCTTTTCTGATAATGTACCATTATGACAGATGACCAATCTTATACCAGTATCTCATTCTTTCCCAGTTTTTAATAAAAATAAACACTACCCACAAAAGCCATCTTTCTGAAATAAAAACCAACACCATCTTAGCTTGCAGATTACAGATAACAAATTATGTGTGACATTTTCTAAACTAACCTCAATCTCTTTATTCAGGTTTAGACAGTCCATAGTCAGAAAGGAATGAATGAAAACAGGACATCAATCACTGTGGAATATTAGCACCTTAAAGATGTCTTTAGCAGGTCAATAATCTTTTCACCTTAGAAGGACTTTATCAGATCTTGTCTAAAGCCTGGATAAAAGCTCTGCATTAAGTACTTCTAACATTGACAGTGTGCCTCTACCACACAAAGCTGTTTTCTTCCTTAGGGTGCAATCCTCAAGGTCACGATTCTTTGCAGCCTTCCAGAATGACAAAGGAGCATTAATGCTGGCCAAACAAGCTGTCAACACAAACTTTGTCATAGCTCTGATAAAGAAACTGGCAGACAGTGATAATAAGGTCTAATTTCTCTCCTTCCCATGGGAGGTAAATAGATTTCAAATCAGCCTAGAAACCTATGCGCAGGGAGCCATGTTATCTTTGGCCTTTCAAAAGAGAAAAGACTCACTGTAAATTCATCTAAAGGTTCATTGATTTCGATGTCCAGCACTTCATCATTGTACAGCTGCTCCTCCTCTGGCTCATCCCCATATTCTATTTGGTCTTCTGTCAACTCTGCATCATGGCCTTCATACTGTCCTTCCTCTGGGTACTCCTGAGTATACAGTTCTTGTTCCTCGGGTTTGTGGTAGGCTAGTTCATCTTCTCCTTGTTCATACTCAGATTCCTGTTCTCCAGACTGGTCGTTGGTATTGTCAGACAGCTCAAACGATGTAACTATGCCAGAGGTGGTATTCAGACTGATAGTGACACCCTGAGAACTAGAAGACAAAACAAAATGAAAGACACACTGAGAAGAAGCACAAAACTGTGTCACTAATAATTGAAGAGTGAGACTTAAACAACCACTGGGTTGAGTACACTCTTAACAATCTATGCACTAGATTCTAAATGACCCAGGGACACTGACCCACAATATAGACAGCATCGCCACTTTTCAGCTCTATTATCTGACCTAAAGAATGAAGTCTGCCTGATGAAGAAGCTGGTCTAGCTACCACACATCTAAGAAGTAAATGTCTTGGGGTAGGGGTGGGGGGGGGGTCCCCTCTGTGGCCCTGGCTATCCAGGAACTCACTCTGAAGTTGACTGCTAGTATTTAAGGCATGTGCCACCATGCCTGGCATCTACTTTTAAAGAATGAAACAGATGGAATCTAGATGGTATGACTATTAGAAGAATACTACTCAATAATCAGGAAAAAAAAAAAAATCACAGGATTGTTTTTAAGACTTATTTAAGAATTAATTAAATTTATTTTACTTTATGACTGCCTACATATAGTATGTGCACTGTATGTAGCCCGGTACTCACAGGCCAGAAGAGAGCGTATGATCCCCTGGGCCTTATAGGTGATTGTGGGTAACCTGTTATAGGTCCTCTGCAGGAGCAGTAAGCGCTCTTAACTGCTGAACCCACACAATTAGAATGTTGAGAACAATTTGGATTCTTTTTAAAAAACATATGATGCAAATTGTTAAGCTTTTCTTTAAGAAAATTAAACATAAAAATCTGTGTCAAAGTAGATCTCAATGTTCAAATAAATGTACACTAATTACAAATATACTTTAAAAAATAATTGATACACCACCAGTTGTGATAGCTCATGTCTATAATTCCAGCACTCAAGAGGCTGAGGAAGGAAGATTGGCATGAGTTACAGAACAGCCTACACTACAATATGGTCCTTGTCTCAAAAAACTAAACCAAACACATTGGAAATTTCTTCATAAGAGAGCAAAAGGTCTTAAAGCCACAAAGCCCATATTATACCTATTAATCACTAACTCCTAAAGGGCAAACATTTCAAGGTAAGAGTTCAAATGCAGTGACTGGAGATATGGCTTAGCTGGTAACACTGGCTTTTTCTTCTAGAGGACCCAGGTTCTAATCCCAGCACCCACATGATGGCTCACAATCATCTGTACCTCCAGTTTCAGGGAATCTGATACCCTCTTCTGACCTCAGAGGGCACACAAATGATACACACATGCATTTAGGCAAAACACTATATACAAAACTTTTTTAATTAAATAAAAGTATTTTTTTAAAAAAAAATTCAAATGCAAGACCACAGAGTAAATCTGTGCTCACAGAAAGCATCCTATACAGAAAAACTGAACACACCATAGACTTCAAGCTTCTGGACAAACTCCAAAGATATCAAAAAGAATTGGTAAATGCATTTCATTGATAAAATAATTTAAAACTATACTTTTAGCCACAAACTATGTGAGAAAGCAAGTTTCAAGTCTACGGCCTTCATATGATATATTTGCAATCAAATTTATAACCCAGAAAGATGTGTTTTTCCCATGGTTCTTCCTAAAATTTGAAATTTTCTGAGTATTTCTCTCTCCAGAGTGGCATCAGTAAAAATTATCTGAAAGAAAAACAAGCACAGCAACATCAAACTGCAATTGCCTACATCAAGTCAGGGATCACTATACTCTAAGTACTCAAAGCGCTGAGCCTTTATAAACTGCTCTGAATAATGTACGTAACTTTAAGCCATTGACCTATTTATGGAAACAATCTATATGGCTTCCACATCAGAATATACCAATATCTCACTCAGAATGTATGTTAGAAGTCCAATACCTTATTATTTATTCAATTACTCATTATAATTACAAAATATATAAACAGTTCCCATCGATTTAAATATGGCCCAGTTTTTTTTTAATGAGTAAATACTGAGTACCTGAAATTTTCTTCATCTTCATTATCACTCTGTAGAAGATCATCATTCAACTCTTCATCTGACAAATCCGACTGATTCTGATTAAAACAAGAAATCTAATTAATTTGTGTCACTTACATAAAAAAAGACTTGTTACCAAACAGAAGCTTACTCTAAGAGGGTTGTTTCTAACCTCATGCTGCTTGACATCTTGCCATGCAGAAGGTTTGTTCAGTCTGGCATTACCATAGAGAATCCAGAGAGCCCACATACACCCTAGAGGCTAACCCCTGAAAAAATTTTAAGTGCCACAAACAAGTAAGTATCAAGCAACAAGTATATTGGTCAGATTTATTATAATTCTGCCATAAAAGAAAAAGGTTAAGAAAGGCATCTGTGTAAGGGGAACTACTAAACAGTTTTTCCACCAAAATACTCGAAGAATGGCCTTAAAATGACTAACAATGACAGAAACAAAAATCTGAAATTTTTAAACAATGCAAGAGATACAAATCCAATACAAGCTGTTTTTAAGATCACTGGGCTGGAAATTAAACCAATTAGGAAAGTAACTTTGGCTTTCCTATATAGATGACATGAAAAAACAAGTAACAACTCAGTTCTTTCATTGCCGTCGCCCATATCTAAATAGAATGCAAAGGCAGCAGAGTGATTTGCTAGAGTTCAAAATTCTAGGCTGGTTAAATATGTCTCAATATTATAGATTGGGGAGTGATCCAACTTTCCTCCTCTACTAAAAGTATTCCTAAGTCTAAATGGGGTATACCCTTCCAAAGGGTAGTCAAGCACACGCGCGCGCGCACACACACACACACTCACTCTCTCTCTCAAGTGAAGAAAGAGAAACTGACTATTTTCTACTCCTTAAATGAATAACCAATCTGACTGTAGTACAGCTTGCAAAAATAGGTTAAACTTGACTCTTTATTACAGTACTTCTGATAGTCAAAAATAATTCTAGGAAAATTTATTGGCTCAAGAGACCTCATCTATCTCTAAAGTCAAATAAGCTACCCAAAGCTATGCTTCCAACACAGCAGGATGGATCTGTATTAAAAGAAAACACAGTAATTCACAGACCCAAAATAAATTTGCTGTTAGTGATACAACCAGCCATCCAAAAGGGCCAGTTCTGACAGTGAAGCAGACACTACACAGTAGCCATACCTGCAATGGACAAACCTAAGTTTATTCTTCAATTGCACAAATAAAACCTCAGGAAAAGCTTAAATATTACTAATGCAGTGAACTTCAAGGAGGGCTGCTTGACTGTGTGTGAAATGTGTATGCATGCCTGTGTGTGTGCATGCACACACATGAAAAAAACACATATATTTAAATTTCACGGTGATTCTGTATATGCATGCACTTGTGTGTTTAAACTCCCAAGTACCAGTTCCAAAATCATTCAAGTAGTAATTTATCAAACAAGCAAACAAATGAAATAAAATATATGTTGTGGTAGGTTCCAGTAGTCATCAAATCTCAGTTCCAAGGTTTGAGTCTTTCAATTCCAAGCCTACTGAGTAACAGACATTGGAGGCAGAAACACCACTTCCCTGGAAAAGCTTTAATCCTCAAGGGGAAACACTAAAGCAGAGAAGCCAGAGATCTTATTGAACTGGAGGGAACTGTTTTTCAGGTAAGCAGAAAGGCTGGGAGAATTCTTCTTGGTCAAGAAGAAAGCAAGGCTTAAGGTCCCAAGCAAGAAATACAGAGTGACAGTGAGTGCTTGTGAAATCCTCTGCCTCATCTTCCCAGGAAAATATAGAAAAGCTCCCTTCAAAACTCCTAAGAATGAGGACTTTTTACAGGGTATCATGGGTTTAAAGATGGTTACAAAAATGTCCTCAAACATTCTCCAACACTGGCACTTATGACAGAAACTCCTTGGTGCAGTCCAGACATGAGGTGATGCCAAAGTAAAACAGATGAAGGAAGTACTTACAAACTATCGGCCTAGCTCCACCTCAGCCATCTTCTTTCTCAGTCTGCAGCCATGCCTTGCCTTTTCAACACAATTAAAACTCAGCCCTAGATGCTCCACACTGTCACAAGGGCCTACAGGTCACTGTCACAGTGGAAATCAGAGTGCAGGCGCCCAGTGCAGTCACAGACAAGGGCAATAAACTTGCTAAATAAATACCTTGAGAAAGGTCCAATCTTACTAGAAATCAAATAATTATGAATTAAACAACCAACAGTCATTAAGATCTATCACACTGACAAAGATTCTTTTTTTAAAAGCAGCATTAGATTTGTGGAAAGGGAAGGTGAGAGATACCGAGATACACACTGTTAGGAATAAATTAGGAATAAAAGCTAATCAAACATTTCCAAGAAGCAATTTGGCAATAAAAAGAATGTTGAAATGCCCACAACGTGAGACCAGAACTACCTCCTGAAAGACTTTCAAAGAAGATCCTTAAAGCACATTAAGATTCATACACCATAATGGCATATCTGAAGTACTCTTCAAAATAACTCAGCAAAGAGTAACCAAGTAACATTGAAACAAGACTTACTCAAACTAAACGCTGATGACACTAGGTGAAGCCCGACCAGAATGAACTGTACCTTTCTCTCTTCCTTATACACTTGAGTTTCCACTAAGGAGCTTAATTTGAGTACATAACTTGGATTAACCACAGAAACCAGCAGAGTAAAAGAGGTCAGGTTAGGGGAGAGTGCTAGAGAGGGGGATATTAGGACACAGGTGTTACAAAGGGAAAAATGGGAATGGAGGGACAATTTTATCTAGGGAGGGAGAAAAGAGGACCATACTGAAGAGAGAGGACGACTTAAAAAGCCAGAAAAACACATTATTTTTTGCTTACCTAAAAACACACATATATTTCTGGGTGTTGTAGAAGCAGAGACAGGCTCTTTGAGCTAGAAGCCAGCCTGGTCCACATATAGTGAATTACAGGACAGTCAGGGATATATATATATATATATATATACACACACACACACACACATATACACACACGCGCACACACACACACACACACACACACACACACACATACATTCTGTCTCCATAAAACAAACAAAAGGCATACATATATAGCAAGTACAAATATACACATTTAAATAATTTTAATGAAATTACTCCATCAGGGGTGATAAGGCTCCTCCAAGAGCCAAGGACTATCTAACAGTGCCAGTCATGGGAAATCTCTCTTCGATCTGTTGGTCAGGACTCTCCAGACAATATATGCTCTGTTATCACCCTTGGCTACACCCCAAAACTTAAAGGTAAGACCCTATTGCTTAAAATATCATATACTTCCAAGAGAAAACTTAAGAATCAAGCTAGGACCAACCTAGAAGTCTCATCCCTGAGGAAAAACTCTCCTGGTACCTAAAGGTGCTATATAAACTGTCAATGGAGAAAAGTAATTAAAAAAAATTCTACCCAGCTGTAAAGCCTACAAATTATAATAATGACCAGCATGGCAAGATATACATACCCAAGGGTATAACAGTAGCACTTAAACCTCAAGGGTAACCAACAACCACCTAATTAGACTTAAGGCCTACTCAATAGGAGGAAACTCATGCATGAAAATTGTACAACTAACAACAAATCTGAAGCTGGTGAAGTCATGGACCCTAAAGGAGAACCTACTACTGCCACTTTCCTAAACCAGTATGTCTCAGTTTGGGTTTCCATTACTGTGATGAAACACCATGACCAAAAAGAAAGTTGAGGAGGAAAGGGTTTATCTGGCTTACACTTTCACATTGAAGTCCATCATTAAAGAGGATCACAGGAGCTCAAATAGGGCAGAACCTGGAGGCAGTAGGTGATAACAGAGGCCGTGGAGGAGAGTTGCTTACTGGTTTGCTCTCCATGGCCTGCTCAGCCTGCTTCTTATAGAACCCAGGACTATCAGCCCAAGGAATTACACCACCCATACATAATGGGCTGGGACCTCCCCATCAATCATTAATTAAGAAAATGTCTTACAACTGGATCTGATGGAGGTATTTTCTCAACTGAGGCTCTCTCCTCTCAGGTAACTCTAGCTTGCATTGACACAAGTCAGTACACAGTGTAATTTCCAACTTCATTCTAAAGACCTATCTTTATATTCACAAGTAAATGCAGCTCTCACCCCTAATCAAGAATAATTCCTTTTAGCAGCTGATAAAGATCATGACAGAAATCTACAACTGGTTAAAATGCAGAAAACAACTGACTGTGGGGTACCTATCCCCAAGTGATACATCTACAACACAACCCCTGCACATACTGAAGGCTCAGGGAACATCTGGGAATAGAGTGTAAAAAGACTGTTAAGTGTCAGAGGACCAGGACATTAGCAGACATTAGTAATCAGTTAGTGTTTTCTATATATGTCAGGGAGTAGTAACCATGAATTCTTAACAATATGGTCATCTAAATAAGACCTACACAACGATAACCAGTAGATATCCCAATGAGAATGGGGGAAATCTTACAAGGCCCCATCCTAGAAAAATAAACAAGGGCAATGGCTGCTAAAGAGAAAGAATTAAGGGATAAACTCTCCTGATAGGTTATCTAACCCCAAGTGCTCAATCTTAAACACATACACAAATAAGCTCTATGTACTCAGAGGGTTGCATATGTGTGCTTGTATTTATCAATAATAATTAAAGAAAGGATCTCATTGAGGAAGATAACAGAGAAGATGGAAGAGGAAAAAGGTTGAGGGGGATATTGTATATATAGTACTCACATATACAATACTCAAAAAATTTTAAAAGAACATTTGTTGGAATTTTAAAGTTGTTATGATTTAAACATTGCATAACTATTCCCCAGGATCCATGTGTTGAAATGGGAAAGACAGCATGAGCCCAAAACCGGGGTTGGGAGGGGACTGATCTGACTGAGAAAGAACCCTATGTCACATTCAATTACTAGAGAAAATGCTGATGAGACCTAAAAGTTTAACAGAAGACAGCGGGACAAGGATAACTCCACAGCCTATATCTACTATACTATCTGAAATAGTCTTAACTATTAACTATTTCAGTATAGTTCTTGACAATGTGAGCCCTTACAATTTTAAGAGTTGAAAATGAAATATAAAGAATTATGTTGAAGACCTGGGGAGAAGGCTCAATGAAGTGTTTACCCCCAAGCATAAAGACCTGAGTTTAATTCCCAGCACCATGTGAAATTCAGGTGTATCAGCAGCATGAACCTATAATTCCACCACTAAAGAGGTCAAGACAGAAGATCCCTTGGGCTCCCTGACAAGCCAAAAATGGTAAGCTCCAGGTTCAATGTGGAAATCTGTCTCAAAAAAAAAAAAAAAAAAAGTGGCAAGCAATTGAGCAAGACATGCAGCAGCAACCTTTGGCTTCCACATGCACACATGAATACACCTAAGCACACACATGCATATGCATAACCTCTTTCTCACACACAAACACTTGTACACACAAATACCACTTTAAAAAATTATTGTGAATATTAAGTGAAAACAGAAAATGTTTTAAAACTATTCAGTGAACCAAAAAAATGTTAATTCACTTTAGGGAATCGGGGAGGAGGCTCAGTGAATACAGTACTTGCCAGTCAAGTATAAGAGATATATTAGATTCCCACATACAAGCATAAACTGGGTAGGCATAATGGTCCACTTGTAACCCAAGAGCTTGGCAGATGAGGCAAGCTAACTAGCAAGAATAGCTGAATCAGGTAGCTTCAAGTTCAGCAAGAAACCTTGCTTCAATAAAGAGACCTTCACATATACATGTACATATAAGTATACCCAAACATGCAAGCACCCACCCAAAAAAAGGAAAATAAAATTGATGGGAGATGTCATTCTGTAAATAGGTTTCTCTTATTGGTTAATGAATAAAGCACTGTTGGCCAATAGGAAAGCAAGATAGGCGGGACTAGGAGACAACGAGGTGAGAGGAAGTAGTAAAGAGGAGTTTCAAGATGTAGGACTTACAGGGTAAAACTCTGGGCCCTCTCTCCGGTAAGATAAGACTACATGGAAATACTTAGATTAATAGAAATGGGTTAATATTTAAGACAGAGCTAGCCAATTCGAAATGCTAGTAACAGGCTAACAGCTTTATATCTAATACAGGGTCTCTGTGTGTTATTTGGGGCTGGCGCAGCAGTGGGACCAGGCTGGCGGGAAAAACTGTTCATAACAAAATGGTGCCCAATGTGGACCAAAGAACTTTCACTTAAAACTTGACAAAAGCTTAAAAAGGGGTTTTAGAAACAAAAGAACAGAGACAAGCAAGGCTTCTTGATAAAAGCATTTTTCTCAGTTGGGCTTTGTTTTGCTAGAGACAAACAGATTTGCTTGTCTCCTTTTTAAGGGAGGTTTCCTGACTCAGCATAAGCGGCAAAAAAAAAAAAAACAAGGCTTTTAAAGAGCTCTGCTAACAATTTAATAGTCTATACAAGAGCTGGCAATGGTAGTAACCACATCTCCAAGACAGCAATATGCTCCTGGATGGCAGCGTAGACCAAGGCAGTGAACACAGCTCTCAAGGTACACGTCGCCATCTTGAATAGATCCCAGCTAATACAGCTATGGCTTTCATTTGACCAATTTGTTTACCAGATAAAAGACTCGTGACCACAAAAAGATAAAGAATTACAGTAAAGACAGATTCAGATTAAGAAAAATCTCTAAAGGTTTACAGTGTGTTTTAAAATATACGTATGCTTGGGAGAGAAAAAGAAACAGGATACAATGGTTAAAAAAAGAATAATAATAAAAAAAAAAAAAGAGTAGCTGGATGTGGTGGCACACGCCTTTAATCCCAGCAATCGGGAGACAGAGGCAAGCACTCTGTGATTTAAACCTGATATACAGAGTTAATTCCAGGACAGATAAAAGTTACACAGAGAAAACTTGTCTCAAAAAATGAAAAAAATAGAAGTAGAAGAAATAGAATAATAAAAAAGACACGTAAAGATGGAAAGCACAGAGAGAATCTGGATACTGTCCAATAAAAGCATTATATTGTCTTTTTATCATTTGACTGCTGAGGAAATAACAACTGTTAAAAGAAATGCTGATGGATTAATTCAATTTATATATTTTAAAAATGCTTTGACTTCAAAATTGAAGTCTAACAACAAGGTACTGGGGAAAAGGATTTCTATTTTTGTTTCCACAGAAAAAGAAAAGCTGTGGATTCCTTCCAGACTAACATGGTTTGATCAAGCAAGACCCCTTGAAACAGTATTGCAGATGATCCAATATTCAAAACAGCTGGATCAAGGCAGCCTTGCAGACCACTACAGCCAGGATTTTTGCCTCTTCTTAGGATCCCCATGAAAGAGTCCCCCTACCATCAGGAAGCAGTTTGGAAAGAACAACACCCAAATTCCAAATATCATTTATAAATGTTTATTTTCATTTAAATAGGCTTGGTTATAAATGGTTAATGACCACAACCAATCTCTTTAAAGGTAAAAGGGATTATGATATAGATATAAATACTTTGTTTTAAAATGGATTTTCATTTACTGATACAATTGAAGGTCAATTTTGTTATATGTATATTTCTCCTCTTGTTTAGGTATTAGATTTATATAGCTCACTGAGAAATGTAATGTATAATTTAGCCCAGATCATAGATAGTTACCTATAATAGTAAAAACTTTAGTTAGGTTTTACCTATAATAGTCAAAACTTATAGTTAAGTTAGTTAGGATTTCTAGATATATAGAGATGTATTTAAGATGAATAGGCATTCTTCAAACCTTTCAAAGACCTACAGAATATGGCATTTTAAATGGTTTAGGGTTTTTCTTAACAGTGAGGCACAACTGCTCCTGGCAACACCACCTGCATCAGAAAGGAAGATGGATACTGAAGAAACTCGTTATGGAGTTTACTTCCAATATGGCAAAACTAGCCATTTGGGCAAGATACTGCTTTTTTCTGGACTGTTTGACTTTGTGCTGTATAAACTGGACATGCAGGACCCATAGAAAAATGGACATTGATACAGGATTCCTGCTTCGTGGAAAAGTCTGCCAGACATTCTGCAGGACATAAGAGAAAAGTGACTGACAAACTGCCAATACAGATGGACAGTTTAAAGTTTCCTGCTTGGCTGGGGAATCTGCCAGACACACTATGGCCTATAGGCTGAAGATGGAACATTACAGAAGAACTTTGGGTGACTGACCAGGCAAGTTGTCTCTGTCATTTCTAGAGTTTATATATTATCCTTCTGTGGTCTTTGAGGGAATTAAAGACAAATAGTTATGGTTATAGTTTCCCTTAGTTAGGATTAAAGATAAGTTACATATAGGACTTTAGATTCACAAAGATAGGATAGATGGTAACATATTTTCTTTAAATCTTGCTAAATGTTAATGGACTGAACATTGTTAACTATGGTTCTTATTTGAGAACTGTTTTGTTATACATTTTATTATGTTATTTTAGACAGAAAAGAGGAGATGATGGAAGATGTCATTCTGTAAATATGTTTCTCTTATTGGTTAATGAATAACGTTCTATTGCCCAATAGGAAAGCAAGATAGGCGGGACTAGGAGACTAGGAAGAAAGAGGAAGAAGTAGGGAGGAGATTCAAGATGGAGGACCTACAGGGTAGTATACCAGACTCCACGTAGATAAGACTACGTGGAAATACTTAGATTAATAGAAATGAGTTAATATTTAAGACAGAGCCAGCCGATAAGAAACTAGTAACTGGCCTACAGCATCTCGGTGTGTTATTTGGGGCTGGTGCATGTGGCTCTGGGACCAGGCCGGCAGGAAAACTACTTGTAACATAAAATTATCAATTTCACCTCTTGTTTCACATTCTACTTTCCTCATGATTTGTGAAACAGATTAGAAGCATATTTTAGACAAATACACACATATTAGAAGGTCTAGAAAAGTTTCCATGAGAACTTCTAGCTATATTTATGTACAGATCTGTTATGCATTATAGTTTGACAAATATACTCCCAAGAAGTGCATTCTAGAATCATAATGTAAAGTACAAACCTATAAATGTTATATTCCTTTAAGTTTATGTTTTATGCTACTATTATTCCAATTCTGAAACCTGCTAGAGTGCACTGAATAGAGTAGGAACTAAAATAGTTGCATCCCATAGTAATATCTACACCATCTACTTAATAAACAGGCATTCTGCTGAGCTGGAGGAGTAACTCTAGGATAGAAAACATGATGAGCATTTGTGAGGCTCCATGTTACTGGCTGTTTTACTCTTTTGGCTCTTTGTTCTTTAGGAGACCACCACCCAGCTGCCAAATAAATACACAGGAAGATGTACTATTACTTATGAATGCCCAGCCTTAGCTTGGCTTATTTCTAGCCAGCTTTTCTTAACTTATTCTGTCTACTCTTTGACTTTGGACTTTTATCTTTATCCTATATACTTTCTTTACTTCTGACTCCAGGGCTTGCTGTGTAGCTGGGTGGTTGGCCCCTTCTTTTCTCATTCCTTGATCCAGTTCTCCCAGACTTCCCTTCCTATTTATTCTCTCAGCCTGCCAGCCCCACCTATCCTTTCTCCTGCTTTGCTATTGGCTGTCCATCTCTTTATTAAACTAATCAGGTGTTTTAGACAAAGTAACAGTTTCAGAGTTAAACAAATACAACATAAAAGAATCCAACACATTTTTCCATCATTAAACAAAACAAAAGCTCCACAATAGATATATATATATATATAAAAGTGGAAACATCTTAAAATAATATTACATAATAGCTCTGAGTCAATCTATAGCAATGAAAAAAATCACTCCATTTATAAATTCTAGTCCATGCTCAGCTTCTGGAAATTCATCCCATGTACAAGTAAGTGGTGGTGGTGTGTGCCTGTTTTAGATACAATTAAATAATTCTTCTAAGTGACCTTATTTCTTACCTTTTTTCCAGACAGTAAATCTTCTCCAAGCAAGTCATCTTCCAGTTCACTGGGGAAAAAGAAATGTAAAATGTCACTACTATTAGACTAGAAAATGAAAGTCACTCAGAAATCCAGTAAAGGCTCCAGAGAATTGGAACTTTCAGGTAGCTATACTACACTTTCCTCCCTCTTCATGAATGAAGGTATTTTCAAGGACAAAGGGACAAGTCTCTGTCAGCTAAGATCAGGCTCAATACAGAAGGTGGCTTATTAGACTTCAGCTGAAGCTTAGCAGCACAGTATAGTACTTTAATCCCTTTATAACTGCTAAATAATCAGCAAAATATGAAATATATACAAAGGAACTCCTAAGGTTTCTCCTGTGTTTAAAAACTTAGGATGTAAAGGAAAAGTTGCTCAATATCATTAATCAGGAAGGGGGGAATAAAACCACAAGAAATCATCTAATACTCATTAAACTAGCAGAAAACAAAAGGAATTTAAAATAATTGAGCTGAAGTGGTAGTTCAGCAGTTAAGAGCACCTCCTGCTTTTGCAGAGTTCAGTTTCCTGCAGCCACGGCAGGAAAAATCATAATCACCTTCAATTCCAGCTCTAGGGAAATCATACACTCCCTTTCTGGTCTCCAAGGGCACTATACTCACATCACACACACACACACACACACACACACACACACACACACACACACTGCACATGTGCACATGTGAAAGCCTAAATTTTTAAAAATCAAAAATTGAAATTGTTATAAAATTATATTCAGTAACTAAGGTATGTGGTATGGAAATCACAGTAGTGACCTACCATGTTTCCCAGCATGCTTTTGCACTGAAGTGATGACTAGAAGCAGGTTTTCTCCAGGCTCCAGAAGGAACCTTTAACACATCAAGAAACTTGAAATACCTTCTATTGTATTTTTAAAATGTCTTTATTATTCATGGTTATGTAAGGCCATTTCCATTTAGGTATATAATGTATTCCCTCTTCTCCCCATTCCTATTTTGTTCCCTTTGTTCCATAGCAGTTCTATTTCTACATTCTTAGCACCAGTACATATTGTGATAGTATATACATATACCATCTAGGCACCCAAAGCAGAGAAAACACATTAAAATAATATTTTTGATACGAGAAAATGGCTATCACTAGATTGGGCTCTGGTTAACCAGTTCTATTGGGTTTGAAATTAACACCAGCACTAATTTACTATTTTAACATGTTGTTGAACAATATAGAAGCTCTAACAATGCAAAGATGGAGTTGTAAAAGAAACACACACTCCTGTAAAGGGCCTTTTAGAACAAGAAACAAATCATTCAGTTCGCATGCTAGGCTCTGTAAGTTAACCTGTAGTTAAATATCATACTCTTACTTCACAAACAGAAATAAGAACTTGCCTGCCAAAGGTCACACAAAAGAGAGATACAAGGCAAAGACTTCAAAAACCAGCTGGGTATGGTGGCACACAGTTTTAATCCCAGCACTTGGGGAGCAGGGGCAGATGGATGTCTGTGAGTTTAAGGCCAGCATGATCTACAAAGAGTTCCAGGACTAGAGAAACCCTGTCTCAAGAACAAACAAACAAACAAAACCATCTTTCTGACTTCTGCACAGTTCCTCCCAATATTTTCAAACCAGTAACATCTGGGATTTGATTATTTTCTATGTTACATTCCTCCTGTGAAGGCAGGAGAATAGGCTGCTAGCCAATGCCCTATTTGTAAATATCCCTTCATGCCACAGCTTTAAGCAATGGCAAATGGAGGTGATACCACATTCCCAAGACACACTAATGGGGGATGGTAATAAAACAGGTGTTCATAATTACACCAAAAACTACAAAGGATATGCAACTTTTGCTAAAAAGCAAATGCATTTGAAAATAAACCAATTCTTAATGACTGTTTATTTAGTTGTCCATCACATGGCTACATATGACAGCATGGCCATTATTTGAAAGTCCAGTCTCCTGCCCTCCTGGCTCCTGTCCACTCTAGCCCCTTTCAACACATTCTGGACAGCCTATATGTCCTCCAGAAATGCCTCACACAAGCTGTCTCTACGTCTGGCTTTCAGTCAAACTAATGTAAAGTACCTAGGAAGATGTCACCAAGCAAAAAGATAGAAAGTAGTTCCCTCACCCCCACACCCAAATACAATCCAAGGCAGTATAAGGACAGCACCACGACCACCAAAGCTTTTCTGGCTCATAGACCTGCCTTTCCTGGGGCTTGGGTAGAAACTACTGTATTCTGGGTGCCCTCTTTATCCTTTAAGCCTGCTCCCTATGCTCCTGTCTTACTTGATTTTTTTCAGATGCTGAGCCAGCATCCCAGTATTATCTGCAATCTCCACTGATACAACATGAGAGCAGGTTTTTGTACCAATCACTCTTCCAAACTTCTAAACTTCTCCATTATGCAAGCAAGCAGAAGATGTTTTATGCTTAAACAGTATCAAAAATATGCATAACACTGAATCTTGAATGTGCAAACATCTTGCTGTAGGCCATGTGGTAACAGAAGCTGGTTCATAAACAGAGACAACTGATACCCATACTGAGGCGAGTAATAAAACCATGCTGCCTTATACCATGACCAAACCAGCACAGAAGGAAGGAAGGAAGGAAGGAAGGAAGGAAGGAAGGAAGGAAGGAAGGAAGGAAGGAAAAGGAAGGTGCCAAAAACTATAAATCCTAACATCAGACAGACTCAAGAGCCAACCTGGATAAATTCCGACTGAGGAACTATTAGGACAATCTGACCACCACTAAGAGAAAAACTACAGCAGATTAAAACACAACTGATGGAAGAGTCTATTACTTAAAATTATTCTAAAACAATGCTCAGGAGGGGAAAATGTTACAGGTAATTACTTTAGAAATGGGCAAATGAAAATCTCCTGTCTGTCTGTGCCTTGGAAGAACTTCCAAGTTAATAGACACATTACAGGAAACAAACCACTGTGACTACTTTAAGTTCTCCAGAAGTGGAGGTACATGACAGACACGAGAGACTTCTAATACCTTTACTAAGACCTCAATGTAAACAACCTCTATACCAATATTCATTTACTTAACACAAGGGATTATACTATCTAAAATTAATCAGTCAAGCAGAAATCCTAGAGAATATATTGTTTTGTTTCTTTCACAAAGAACTAAAGGCTTCAGTTTTGATAAATGGCCTCCAAAAGCCATGATTCAGTTAAAGATGTGGTCTCGAGCATGGTGATGGTGAAAATAAGGAGACTCTGAGGAGACAGGGCCTGGTGAGAGGTTATAGGGAGGTTCACAGGGGATGGTACAAGGGTATGATCCTGGTTCATAATATTAGTGGTTTTACTTGGCATATGCCTCCACCATGATGTGCTTTCTCATCGGAGGCCCAAAGCTAATGGGCCACCCTATCATTAACTAGGGCCTCCTAAACTATGAGCCAAAACACACAACTTCCTATGTTAACTGTCCAAGCAGTTTCTGTAGTAGCAGATAACACAAACGGAAAGAACCAACACTTTAAAATACAGACCTTTATCTGGATATAATTTCAAATCACAGGAAAGTAGTCATATACCTGCACTGTATGAGAATACACTGACACAGGCACAAATGCAACCATAAGAGGTAATAGGGGAAATATGAACATTAGCTAGGCATGAATAAACAGGGATCTTTCTTGGGCTCAATTTGGGTCTATGTGTAAACACTGTATTTATAGTCAAGTATTTCCAGGTGAAACTATGTCTGATTTGAAGGGTTTGCAGATTGTACAGATAAAAACCGATAATCACTCAAGTTGGATGACAGTTCATTGGGTTCAATGTGCTATATTATACTTTCATGTGTGCCTGAAAGCCTAAATAAAAAGTTAAATATCAATTGGTATAGTCAATTTCAGGCAACTGTATTCTGTTAAAAACTTAACTTAGAACCATACAATACATACCTCTCCTGTTGTAGAATAGTATTTGGATGTTATATTTATTTATGCTCTGGAACATTTGGTTTTGTTTTTTGTTTTTAAAATTTTTGTTTTGTTTTGTTTTGGTATTTTTATTTTTTTGAGACAGGGTTTCTCTGTATTGTTTTGGAGCCTGTCCCAGAACTAGCTCTGTAGACCAGGCTGGCCTCGAACTCACAGAGATCCGCCTGCCTCTGCCTCCCAGGTGCTGGAACTAAAGGCATGCACCACCAACGCCCGGCTGGAACATTTTTTTAATGATGTAAAGATGTGCTGCTTTAGTTTAAGCTGCATTTGTTTAACTGTAAAGCTGTGATTCTTTGCCTGTCTAAAACACCTGATGGTCTAATAAACAGCTAAACAGCTAATATCGAGGCAGGAAAAAGGATAGGCAGGGCTGGCAGGCAGAGAGTATAAATAGGAGGAGAAATTTAGGAAGGGAGAAGGAACAAGATAGAACAAGGAGAGGAGGACACCAAGGGACAGCCCCCTAGCCAGCCAGCCAGCCACAGAGTAAGAGTGAAATGAAAGTAAGATAAACAGAAGAAGCCAGGCAGATCTCTGAGTTCGAGGGCAAACTGGTCTACAGAATGAGTTCCAGGACAGCCAGGGCTACACAGAGAAACCCTATCTCAAAAAACCAGAGGAGGGGGAGGGGAGGGGAGGGGAGGGAGAGAGGGGGGAAGGAAAAAAGCCCAGAGGCAAAAGGCAGTCAGAATAATTTAAGGAAAGCTGGATAGAAACAAGCCAAGCTAAGGCTGGGCATTTATAAGTAACAATATGCCTCTGTGTGATTATTTGGGAGCTTGGTAGCAGATTCCCAAAAGAGCTAAGAGCCAAAAGAGCCAAAAAGTAAGAATAAAGAAAAAAACCAACTACACTCCCCCATCTACCCACACAAATAAGATACATCTCTTTCATACATACCCTAATAGTCCTTTCTCTAGAATCCTGACTGATATACTGAATGAGTCAGGAAAGGCTAATTAACCTTATGTTTACCATCCAAGACTTCACTGTAAATCATTCTGTAAATTTCTATAGGCACTTGTTCCTAAAATCAGTATGTAACCATAGCATATTGGCATATTGTTTTTCTGTTCACTCACCTCAGCACCTAACACAGCCAGCCTGTGTGCCTCCAGCACTCCTCCTCTAAAAGTAGAGACCCCCCCCCCCAGAGGCACCCACCACAGTGAGCTGAATCAGCCATCACCAATTATTTTCCCCTGTGTGTACAAGTGTGGACCACTAAGCAAGTATGTTCTCTAGTTAGAGAAACGAAATTAAATCAGCACATATTACAATGGCAAAAAGTTTAAAGTTTCAATAACTATTGGGTGGGATACACAGAAAAAGATACTCTGACATCCATATATGGTTGTGGTGCTGTTCAATAAAGAGAGAAAGCAAGCCCATGCTCCGCACAGCTACCTACAACACAAGCTTGGACCAGGCCCTGGTGAGGCCTGAAGAGACTGCCATCAGTCTAGCATGGAGGCTGATATAGGAGAGGGCACCAAAGGGCCAGCCCAAACACTATGTCTGGTAAAGAAAGATCTCTGTATCCAGCAGAGGGTCGTAGACATCACATTGATACTGCAGTGTGCACACACCTGTCCCAGTCCTCATCAGCAGCTCTTCTTCTCCAGGACCTTTCCGCACCAGGCTTGTCAAACTGATCAAAATCATCATCTGTGAAAAAGAGTCCACTAAAGTCAGTTTTGTTAAATCAAGACAAACAAAAGGCAATTAAATCAAATCAACTAGGATACCAACTTCCTTAGGAGCCCAGCTTAACTCTCCAGATACAAAGTTCTACATATCGCTATCATAAATCCTCAGCCAAGATGAAGCATTGTTTTTTTTTTAAATAAAAGCAATCCAAAAATTTATTGAATACTAGGTATGAAAATTCAATGAGAACAGCATTTTTTAAATTATATTTTTTACTGCACAAATGGGGTATGTGATGTTAAAAATTAAGGACTCCTATAATAATTTTTCAGCCTTCACATTTTTCTAAATAACAGAAATAGGATGTAAGCTATGTAACATTGGCCACATTTTATAAAAAGTAAAAACTGGCAAAAAGGACAAAATTTTTCTGGGGGCTGTGGTGGCGTACACCTTTAATCCCAGAACTCAGGAGGCAGAGGCAGTGGGTCTCTGTGAATTCCATGCCAGCCTGCTCTACAGAGCAAGTCCCAGGACAGAGAAACCCTGTCTCAAAAAACAAACAAACAAAAAAATTTTAACTGTATTGCTTTTAACTTGGTATATCCAAAGTTTGCCCACAAGACATAGAATCAGAACAGAAGGCAACAGTGGGTATTTTGCTTCATATGAAGTCCCAAGTGCATATTTTACACACACACAGCACAGCTCACATCTCAACATGGCCAGAGGCCACTGAGATAGCTCAAAAGAGCATCAGAAATAGGGCCTTTTTTTTTTTTTAAAAAATCAATCTATTATTTACCTCACAAATTTGCTGGAAGTTTAAACTTGACAATATATTTTTATAACAGGAGAAGAAACCTGATAGTTATTTTGTTGGAAGCCACTAAGAACTGAATTAGTTTTCATGTGACATGTTGGTGGAGTGGAGGGACATTGCAAAGAAAGAGGGAGCAGTTGCTTTGTTCAGAGTCCACTCAGGCCCAAGACACTTGGGTGACACAAATTCCTATCACCTAGTGCTTTTCTCTAGCTCATACTGGAAAATTAACCACTAAGGTTCTAACAAAACCATCAATCATATCAACCCTTACCCTGAGAGAACCTGATAAAACCTGTTTTTAGCTGGGTAGAGTGGTTCCAGCATGTGGGAGGCAGAGGCAGGTAGTTCACTGTGAGTCCAGCCTGGTCTACATAGTGTAAGTTCCAGAACGGCCACACAGCTACAACAGTAAGACCCTGTCTCAAATAAATAAATAAATAAATAAATAAATAAATAAATAAATAAATAAGCAAACAAACAAACAAACAAAACCTGCTTTTTAAAAAGTGACTATACACAGTCTCTAAGAAGATTCTAAGGACAGGTACCAAATGAAAGACACATATTACAGAAATTCACTGTGTGTTTGTTCAAAGCTGTGGCAGCAAGAGACCCCCAAAACCACACAGCTCCTTGCTCCTGGTTCTCTCACTAAGGGCTAGACCTCTGCTTTCGCCCCACCCCAACCCTATCTGCTGCTGAGACTCAACTGTAGGGGCACATCAGGGAAGGAACCTTTCTCACACACCAAGACCCACTATGGAACACTCAACCAAGATATCCCTGCTGAAGAGGAAACCGAAGCTTTAGAGCTGGTGGGTGACAGGGAGAACGAGTAAGGAAACCAGCAGCCACAGCCACTCCAAGGAATATCTCAAATGCCCATTTCCAGGAAGAAAAAAAGGAGGAGGGTTATAAGCCATTGTTGTATAGCAGTTTCCTCACGATTTGAAATAGTCCATCCTGCAAAGGTAAGTAACTCAAAATAACTTCAGACAGTCCCTAGAACTGACCAGATTCACCAGCCCCTCCCTCTCAAGAGTTAAACACTAAAGACTGCTGCTAAGAGTCACTCCCATACAAGTCAAATTGTAAAGATTCTCAGACCAGCCAAGGTGGAAAGAATCTTGAAATCAGACCAGACCAGATGCCCAGAAAAGGTTTAAACCAATAGTTTGCAACATACTGAGCTACCTGAAGGCTGTGTAATGTGAGCTCCAGGTTCTCACTTTTGTGGGCTGTCACCCAGGCTGGGGTGGGCTTTAGTGAAGCAGCTGTAGTCTGAATCATTTCTGCTCCTGTAAGAAACCTCTCATCCATATTCCTGTAAGTAACCCCATTCAACTCAATTGTTCACCAAGCTGGATTTTGCTGTTATCCACACTTTGATCTGTTGTGATTTTCTTTTTTGAGGTGAGTAGGTGTGTGTGTGTGTGTGTGTGTGTGTGTGTGTGTGTGTGTGTGAGAGAGAGAGAGAGAGAGAGAGAGAGAGAGAGAGAGAGAGAGAGAGAGTTTCCTCTTTCCAGGAAGTCTTATGGCACAGCAGACATGGGATGGGAGGAAGCAGGCAGCAGAAACTACTTGTGAGAAGTTCATAAAAACATTTCAGTAGCTATCACAGATATTTATGTTCAAGGAATTAAATGAAACCAGAAGAATCAAAAAGTAAGGTAGCAATGCCACAGCAAAGGACAGATAAAGAAGCAAACCATCACAAAACCAAATAAATCTTGAAATTAAAAATAACAGGAGGGTTAGCAAGATGGCTCAGCAGGGGTAAAGGTGCTTGTCACTGGGCCTGAAGACCACAGTTCAAGGCCCAGAAGCCATATAAAGGTGGAAGGGGGGGGGACTTTTGCAAGTTGTTCTATGACCTGTGTGCATGCAGGTGCATACACCGAAGAAACCAGGCATGGTAGCTCACAGGTAACACTAACACTCACTTAGGAAACTGAAGCAGGTAAACTGCCTTAAGTTTGAGGTCAGCCCAAGATATGAAGTAAGTTCTAGGACAGCCAGGGTTACAGTGTGAGACTGCCTCAAATAAACAAGCAAAAATTCATTTACAATGTTCATAAAGCAGATTCAAGCTGGCAAAATAGAAAATAACATTAAATGGTCACTACTGCAGAAAACTTGGACCACCCCTATCCCATGAATATAAACACAAAAGACATACCAGAAGGAGGATACAAAGGATCAGGGTACACAAATATATGAAGACATGGCTAAAAACTTCCCAAATTTATTTGTTTTATTAGAAAAGTGGCCTTCATATCTAAAAAAGCACAACAAACTTAATTTACAACACAATAAAGAGACACACATACCAGTTAAAATGTCCCAAAAGCAAGGAGAAAATCTGGAAAGCAGGGGTACAGGCCTCATCACTACAAGATAACCACATAAAATATGGCTCATCGTCAGAATCAGGAGCTTGGGTTGCAGGAGATAACAGAATTCAGAGTACCTTATATCCTATAAAACTATGCTTTGCAGAGATGAAAATAAAATGCACAGAAAACCACAAACAAGATCTCTGTGACTAACAGATCCGCAATAATTGAATCATGTCCTACAAAAAGATAAGTGAAAATTACCCCATTACTGTTTTGAAATAAGATGGAAATGATTTCAAGTTGAGATAATACTGGACATTAAGAGGACACTAAATCTATGGCTGGTGTCCTTGTGAGAAAAAGGAGATTTGGAGATAAGACATACACAGAAAGACCATGTAAGACCAAACAGTAGCGCTTCTAGACAAGTACCACCAAGAACTGAAGGGGTATGGTATCCAGATCCCCTAGGAACCTTCCAGTCTCCTGACTGTAAATCAGTTTCCACCAAGCTACCCACTTGGTGCTATTTAGACATGCAGACTTATAACTTCTGTTTGAATCTGGGGGGGGGGGGTGTACTTATCCTTGTCTGCCATTCCCTGCACTCTCCCAGGAGTCTTTAGGTATACTTCACCATATCCCACAGATCCTACAGGTCCCCCCCCACCCCTTCTCCATTAAAAGGATACTCTCACAGTCCTCCACATTTGCTCAGTCTCCTACTAAACTGTCTAGAGATTATTTCAGAGATTCTACTTTTTAATTGTAGAATTGTCCCTTGCTTCCTCTTTGTAATTTATCTTTACTACTCTGTCCCGTTTTCTGAGCATGTTGTCCTCCAGAATTCTTTTGGTGTATGCTTTTTTGTTTGGTTTCTTCTTTTGTGGTCTACAGTTTCTTAAAGAAATTTGAATATTTAAAACTGTTACTTTAAAGAGTTTCTGGGCCTTCTAGTGTGAGTTTTCTATTTTATTCCTCCTGTGAGTAGGACATAGTTTCCTGGGTTCTTTTGTTCAAACTGAATTTTTTTTTTTTTTCATTTAAAACTATGTATCTTGCCTGGCATTGGTGGCATCTCTGTGAGGTGGATCTCTGTGAGTTCAAAGCAAGCCTGGTCCACAAAGCTAGTTCCAGGACAGGCTCCAAAGCAATACAGAGAAATGCTGTCTAAAAAAAAAAAAAAAAATGTATCTTAAATACTGCAACAGAGTAACAATTCATCTCTCCCATAGCCATGGTTGCTGCTATTACAAAGACCATTGTCCATTAAATAACTTCCAAACCATTTCTGCAAAGACTTTTTATTCTATCCTTTCTTTAATGTGGGTACTGAAATCCCTACCTACCCAGTGACCCACAGTTATCTTTAAATACTTCAATACAAGGAGAAGGAAAAATCACCAACAATGCATGGCCATGATAAAAATTAAATAAACAAAGCGAATCTGAATCGATACTCTGCAAAAGCACGAAAGAAAATCTTTGTTCTTGGGCTAGGCAAAGATTCTTTTATTAACAGCAAAACCAAACCCAATCTGACAAATTGGACAGCATCAGCACACGCAGCATCTACTCCCCCAAAAGGCACAGTCTGGCAAATGAAACCAAGTCAACCCGAGCTCTTTCTTTCCCTGTGAACTATTCCACTAAACTATGGAACACGAGCCTGCCCAAGCATCACAGTGGGTAGTCTGAATCTCATTTACTATGTTCAGAGGGAGCTATGACGTATGTGGAGTGGAGTCATAACTCTGGGGTTGTCAGTACTAAAGGGGACGTGATGGTGCTACAGATCCTACAGAGTGATTGTTTAAGTCAGTATAATTTACACATCAAACTATCTTTTAATT